AAAAACAATTTTAAACCCAAACAATTATAGTTGAACTTCATAAAATGATGAAAACTAGGGAAGTAGGTCTTGAAGGCCTAAACCTTAACGGGCTAAACTATAGGCCAAGCTCTCCTCCTATTCCTAACTCTTCCTCCACATCTTGTCATACACATACACTCTCTTTGCTCAAGATTATAAGATTTTTTTTTTGAAGTATCATGCAAAAAAAAAATATTTTGAACTTATCAAGGTGAGGTTAATAAGGTTTTTTTGAAAGGGAAATTTTCAGTGAAAACTCATAGACCAAACTTAATTTAAGTTAAAATTATAAAATTTCATTGCATACGTGGGGAACTGAAGTGAAATTAAAAAGCTGATTGAAAAACCCGTATTGTTTCAGTGAAACTAGAAACATGAACAATTCTTGTAAAGAAATTAATTTCTAATACATGAAAAATGAACAATTGATATATGTGAAATTTGTAACTCTTCATAACACCACTATAAATTTACAATTCTCATTCCATCCACGTCAGTTGTTCATTTTTCCTACAAGAGTTGTTCATGTAATTAGCTTTATTTGTTTGTATTCACATTGGTGTTATGCTATTAACGAGAGCTACAAATTTTACATACATCAATTATTCATTTTTCAAACATCAATTGCTAATTTCCTAACACAAATCGTTCGTGCGTCTAGCTTTATCAGGAACAATAAGGTCACTCATTCAGCTCTCTAACTTGATTTCAATCCTCACCTGTACAGTGAAATTTGGTCAAGTCAAAAGGTCCTCACTGAAATTTTTCCTTTTTCAAAAATGCATTTAATTGAGGTTGTAATTAATAAAGTTTTTTTGATTGAGACTATATCAAATAAGAGTAAATATAAAAATAATATGTAATTTTAAATTTTATTAAGTAACTTAATTAAAAGATAAATTCTTTACAGTATTAAGCTCTTGTGTGGCTCATCCCAAAAGATTTTATATACGTGTGTGTAAAAGAAAGACCATGAAACTAGGAGATTTATCATTTAGGAATGACATACTCACTCCATTCAAAAATATAAAGTATTTTTAATTAAATTTTACCTCTTAATAAAATAGTTATCTACTTTTAAACTAACCTTATCTTTTAATATTTACCCTCTATTAATGTAACATCCCAATTTAAATTTTAATAGTTAATTTAGGTTAATAAAAATTTTAAAAAATATTTAGAGCTAAGCAAATTAGTAGAAAATAATTATTGAATCTAACTTAGGATATAATTTTAAATTAATTTTTTTAAAAAAATTATTAATTAATTAATTAAAAAAATATTATTAAATTATTATTATTATTATAAAAAAAGAGAAAAGGTATGAATAAAAAAAAAGGGAAGAAGAAGTGAACTTCCGACACTCTCTCGGTGCAATGATTATGTATATACAATAATAATAATAAAAACAAAAGAAAGAAGAGAGAGGAAAGAGGAAAATAATAAAAAAAATTTTAGGACCCACATTCATTTTTAAAAAGCCACCGTTCTCTTTTCATTTTTCTTCATTTCCTTCCTCTTTCGTGTGCAATCAGAGAGAGCGTCTGTGAGCGTGAGTTGCCATTGCGAAAGATTTGAATTTTTAAGATAAGAGTTTTTAATAGGATATTTAGGGTGTGATTTCAAGCTTTTCAAAATTAAGTATGTGTTCTAAAAATTTTTCTTAATCATTTTTCCTCTTTGATTTCTGATTTTGTGGTGGCAAAAAATTTAGAATTTGGAAGAGGGGTGAATTTATATTGAATAAATATAGTTTTTGAGATTGTTAGTAGTATAATAAATATTCTAGAGTATAAATTTATTAATAATCTTTGAATTTGTGGCTTAAGGATCAAATTCTAGATTAGATTTTTATTAAATTTGAAAATATATGTTGATTTATTGAGGTTTAGATGATTATTTGGGATGAGAAATGAATTATTCTGGCTATAAGATTATGAGTAAGCTAGATATTTAATTTTTAATTTTTAAGTATTTTAGGTGTGAATTTATAAAATAAAAAGAAAATTTTGATAATAAAAATTAGTTTAGAAGTTGATTTTTAGATTATTAATGTTTATTAATAATTAAAAGAGGAGTTAAAAATTTTACTTAATAATATTGATTCTAGATTTGTATTAAGATTGAGATTATAAATTATGTTATATTTTTAATTCTATTATTAGAATTATTTTATTAGTTTTAAAAATTGAAACTAATATTTATAAATAATATGTTATTTGTAGATTGTATTATTGGTGAAGATTGTGGTGGAAGAGAAATTATAAGGAATAATTTATTAAAAAAGCCACGAGGTAATCATGCTTTTAATTTGTGATTAGTATTACTTCATGTTAGTTGGGTGATTATTGAAAAAATTATGAATTTTGTAATATTGTATAATTGTGCAATATTATTATGAATTTGTTTGATTATTATGGGAGGTGTTGGGAGACTTGCTATTATTGTTGTATTTATGTGCCATGTGATACGCCCCTATTGGAGCTCAATAGGTAGCTTGTAAGGGCTCGGACTAATCTACCTTTGGCAGGATAATTTAGCACTGAGTGAGGGTTACGGCTCGAGGTTAATGGAGGAATATAAGGATGGTTGTTTGTGTGTATTGTAATATTTTTTATATTTTATTAGAATTATATTATTTTTGGTTCCCACTTAGTAAGCACACACTTAATTGTTTGTACACACTATCATAAATTGGCTTTGGTTATTGGGACTTTTGAGTCTCATTATGTGATTAACAATTTTCAAAAAAAGAGCCACGAGTGACACATAGAGGAGTCCCAGAGGTTTAGTGGTATAGATCCACCGTCTCTTTTGGATATTTGATTTATGATTTATAATGTTTTATATTGTTAATATTATGGCTTTTTGTTTATTGACAATTATATAAATATATAAATATAATCATGCCTTTCAAACTATTTTTATTTTTAGTACACTTTGGATGACTGTAATTTTAATATTTGGTTTACTTTAGATTGGTTGAAATGGTATGATTATGAGGCCACTGGCTTGTTTTGAAAATTGACTAAATTATTTATTTTACTGGTTGGGAGTATAAGGATGGACAAATGTGATTTAGTTTACTTGTTGGGAGTATAAGGATGGACAAATGTGATTTAGTCTAATGATATATGGGAGGTAAAAATTTAACTGAAATGTTGTATTGTGCGAGTTAAAACCAATTATAAAATATTTTTATATTAAAATTATTGATATAAAATGTGTTGGGTGGCTGTAACCCAACTATGGTTGAGTTAAATTATTTAAAAAAAATTTGGTGTGTCACAATCAAACACCCTATAATAAATATAAAATCACTATTAATGAAGGCACTTTAAAAAAAAAATTATTATATCTTGAAAGACTAAAAATACCTCACATTTTTAAATATCTAACTTATTAAAAAATGTCTTATATTTTTAAATGGAGGGAGTACGATTTATTGTTGTTTTAAAATTATATATTGAAATATTAATGATTATTCAGTGAAGACAATAAAAGAGACGTTGCATCTCGTAAACTATAATACTAAACTTGATGACAAGTAAATTTTACTATTAATTAATTTATAAATAGCATGACTTGATAAGTGAATTTTACTTTTAAAATATAAGTGAACAAAATTCAGCTTCTTCCAAACAAAATTTGAAAAATTAAATGAATTTTTGAAAGATTGTTTTGTTTGAATAAAAATTTCCAAAACCATAATATTAGGATCAGAATCAATTTTTAAAAATATATTCAAACAGACCGTTAAGTGCGTGTTTCGATATGTAAAAAATCGATTTTTTTAACTCAAAATATCAATTTTCTAAGTGATAACCCCAACACCTGAAAAATCATTTAATCAATTTTTTTCAAAACCCACGAATATGAGCATATGTGAAAAAACTAAAAAAAAATATTGGAAAAATTATAAAAAAAGGCAAAAAAAAATTATAAGAAAGACACAAAATTTAATAAAAATAAAATCAAACTCTCTTCTCTTCTCTTTCATTTTTTTAATAAAATTTAAATTTTAAATATTTAAAAAAATTGCTAACATAAATTCATGTGAATTACCACTCCCTACTTAACACTTACTATAAAGCTAATTAAAAAAAAATATTAATTGGCAGAGAAAATTTAATTTAATTTAATTTAAAATTTATGATCATTATAAAGATTGTTGTAAAGGTCCACAGAGAAAAAGAGAGAGATTTTTGCTTCATTTATTACATTGCTACATTTTTTATGTTGTCAAAATTTTAAGATAATGCTTAACATCTTCGTTGGCTCATATCCATAATATCATTAGAGATCTATTTATATATTATTATATTCATTAATTATTGTAAAATTGATGTTTGATATTTAAAAATTAAATCTTTTTATTTTATTAAATTTATTTGAACGAAAATATATTAAATTATTTATTTACGTAAATTAAATTATTAATATTGATATAATTTAAATTTTTATAATTAATCAAATATGTAATTTAAATAATATATTTTACTTCTTAAGTAAAATTTAATAAATTTAATGATATTGTATACAAATATATAAATAATTTAATTTTAAAAAGTAATGTCTTTTATAATAATTTATACAGTTAAAATTAATTTTGAATAAATTATTTAAATATTTTTAATTTTATTAAAGTTAATTTAAAAAAATATGACATTCAAATAAATTGCATTATAATATTATTAATTATAATTAAAATTAATTATTAATAATTAATTATACTTAATTGATAATTCAAACGGGCCCTAAGAATACCATGTTTGGTTAGAATTTTAATACTTTATATTGATATTGATTACATTTCTAGATTTGTACGTATCATCCTTACACAATGACAATGCTAATCTTGATATTGATTACAAATAATAATACGGTCATTTGTAAATTAAAAATTCGAGGCGAGGTAAGAATTTTTATTTATAAAATTTTTACATAAACAAAAAAAAAATGGAAGAATTGAAATTGATGATGAGTCATGGAGAAAGATGATGAGGACGTGGCAAATGGAAGCCCATCACTGCTCGCGCCTCTTCTCCAGCGTTCCTCGACTCCGACTTCAACCTTGTCCGTGGCGATTCCTTCTGCCCCCACCCCCTTCACCTCCCCACCTCTCTAACCCTAGACCATTCTCTCTCACTCGTATCTACTTCTCCATCAAGTACCCCCGTTGGGATTCCAATGCCGAAACCGTCCGAGACCGAAAATTTAACTTCAATTTCAGAGGCAAAGGCGCGGAGGACGACTACGACGACGAAGAGGAATATGGGAAGAAGAGACGGTGGTGGTGGTCCGATGAGCCACCAGAATTCGAGGATGATACAAGTTGGACCTGGGAAGAGGCCATTGATGGCATATGGATTTTCAAGGTGAATTAATTTTACCTTGGTTACTAAGCTTATTTTATGTGTGTTGGTCCTGTGCTTGGGTTTATGATCCCAGAATTACGAATACCGAATATCAGAATAATAAACTCTCTGCCTTCAAAATTATTAGGCATTTTTAGCTAACTAACCGATGATATCCACCCTAAAAATCTCATTAATTCCAAATATTTGTTAAAGACGTTTTTGGAAAAAAAACTTTATTAATTACTCTTGAAAAACACTAAATCTCTTATATTTTCAAATATGAAAAGAGTAGGAAAAAAATGCTTTGTAGTCCTGAACGAAAGGAGTACCAGTTTATCCCATACAATATAACAGCCTCTTTTTTTTTTTTTTAACAGAAATTTAACAGCCTCTTGATTTCTTGCTAATTGAGTGTTTTCTTTTCTTTCGGGATAAGCGTTATCTATAATCTTCTCTCTCTCTCTCTCTCTCTGGGGACAAAATCTTTTCTTTGAACTATTTATAAGATGTTTGAATATAACAATATATAAAATTTGAAAATTATCACTTACGTGTTGAAACGCATATGTCATCCTCAAATTCTTAATAACAAAGAAGTTTACAAGTACTAGGCAAGCTAGACGCATTTCCCGTGTTGGAGTTTGAGGTTAGCTTCCATAGCTTATTAATTGCTTGTAAGTATTGGCTTGCTATATACTACTGCAACACTTATCCCACTAATTAAGTGCAGTCGGCCATATGGCTTTTTATATGAGTATTGGCTTGAGTATTTTATTATTTATATTGATTATCGCTTGTGTGTTGAAATGCATGTCATTTTAAATATTCTATATAAAAAGAAGATGAAGAAGAAGTTTTCAAGTATTAGGACAGCTCGACACGTTTCCTTGCATTGCACGGAGTCTAAGATAAGCTACGCTATTTATGGCTTATGAATAGTACAATTTGCTATTGATTTTATTATCTATATCAATTTACATTGACTAGAATGAACCGTATTTTCCATTTCTCTCTCATTTCTTGGCATTCATAGTTCATAAATTACATAAATAACAATTAGGCTGGACATTGGGATCTCTCCTTTATTTTTATTGCCACAGAGATAGAAGAGACATTGATAGATGCCAAGATTATTATTGTTCGTTTTATATTTTTGTTGCACTTGAAGAGCTATCAGAGTAATTTATAATTTCACTTTTCCAATTATGATTTTTTTTATAATAATTAAAATAAACCTAGTGCAACTCTACATGTGTATTTTCATTCAGACATTAGATTGCGGTTAATTAGTCTAATAAGTGAACTGTTGCCATGCATGGAGCAGTAACTCAAACCTGATATACCCATATATAGTAAGATGTGGAACAGTTGGCATAGACGAAGTTAGATAAGATGCAAGCCGCAAATAAAATGTCTTACTGAACTCTTGCTTTCTGCCAAGTGTTATCTCAGTTATTAATGCATTTAAAAATTGACAGATGATAAGGGAAGAAAATTTTTTTACGTTATACCTTTGGCATTATGGAAACCAATGCTCTCACGTTACCAGAAAATTATAATTATAATTATAATATTTTTAAATAATGTCTAATTTAGAGAAACGTGATTCTTTACAAAATTGGCAGACAATTTAATTTTGGTGTAGTTTTTTGTTGAAGGCATCAATAAGCAACCACTGCACACCCTACTTAGCATAGTCTCAGCATTAGGTAGTTGTTCCTTGTGTGAAGTTCTTTGTTGAGGCAAGCAGTTGCCTGGCAAGTTGAGCATTTAAGTTGGTTGTGTTTCAACACATTCAGATTTTAGTTTGGCTACCAATCTTAGAATTTACAGGGCCATAGATGCGCTTCATTATTCAATATTAATAATCTGGATATGCATAACTTCTGGTCAATTTATCCTATTCAGGAAGAAATGATTTGTCATTTCAGCAGGAGATTTCCTACTTCAGTCATCACTACTAGTTTACAAAGACATAATTTTGATTCAATATCTGGACTTTTGATAAGTACATTCTACAAAATAACTATGCATGAGTGATGAGAGAGAGAGAGAGGCATGAAGGCACCGTGACCAACAAATGTTTCAATTATAAATTTGTAACCGTAATTCAAACCCTAACAGGTTCCTCTGATTCTAAACAGCTGGTAAGTAGTTAGATAATCTAGTGAACATCAGCTCAAACAAGTGTCTAGTTTTCTTGTAAGGCAGTATATCAGGGTGATGTGGCTCTTGCAGCTTAAATAGCTTTGTCTGCCATTTATATCTAATAATTTTGTGCTTAACTTCACATCTGATGCTCTAAAGGCTCTTCTAAAGCTTCTATATGTATTTTTCTGTATTCCCTCCCAAGTTACTTATGATTTCTACTTTTATTTAACCTATGTAATTTGGTTTCTCCATGAAGATATTTAATGCCCCTGCCATCCTATATAAAAGAATGATTATCATTCAAAGAATGATTAAAAAAATAAAATAAAATAATTCACTTACTCTGAGACGTCATCTTTAATTGAATTGTCTACTATATGAGATAAGGTTCCTCAAGACTTCCATCATCCTGTATGTGTCTAATTAGTAATTACATCAACTTTTCAATTGTTACAAGTGTTCCAATACATATCATTTCATCAGTGCAGGTTTTCAAATCCTATGGTTGGACTTTTCCAATCATAATCGTTTCTTGGTTGGTGGCTACTGGCCCAAAAGCTTTCCTCATGGCATTAGCACTCCCCCTTGGTCAGTCAGCACTTGCACTAGCATTTGAGAAATTGTGGGGAAGGGATAAGAGCAAGCCAAAACGCAAGTCCCGGATGAGGAGGAAGTCATCAGCCAGCACGGTAAGTGGCTCCAAAGTTGAGGAAGAACCGGGAGAAACTCAGGGAAGAAGAAAGGGAAAGACAAGCTACCAATCATGGGTGGATAATGGTTCCTTTGGTAGGGATAAGTCTAGTGCACCTAGTTTTGGTGGGTGGGATGATTTGGATAGAGCTGGCCCGACAACAAGGTCATCTCGAGTGGCAAATGGATCTGAAAGATTTGCCGAGGAAAAAGGCAAGTTGAGTAGGACAGTGAGGAAAAGTGACAGGCCTCTTCTAGTGAGATTGCTGATTGCTCTTTTTCCTTTTCTGGGCTCATGGACTAAAATGCTGTAGTAGTCACCACTCACCGCCATCTGTGTCGGCCTTGGGATTATTTTGATGAATCTTGCTTGGATGAGGAAAATTCAAGTAACTATCTTCCACTTTAAGACGTTTCAAGTTCCGGTTGAATCAGAAGGTTCCGTTGAGCGAGTACATTGTGCGTCGTGTATTGAATATGTCCTGTTGTAAGCTCTGTAGTACTTGTGCATGGGGAAACCAGGCTCATTTTGTTGAGGTATAAATTCTTGATAATAATTGGTCAAATTCTTATGAGAAAATCATATTCAAGGATTACTCAAACAAATTAATTATAGACAAGGATTAACAATGAGTTCTATTCTAGAAAAAAACAAATTTACGTTTTCATTTTAATAATAACTATTTTGTATTAATCATTGTTTATGAATAATTTATTTGGATGATTATTGGATGTGTGTGTGTGTTTTTTTTTTTAAATCTGTTTGACAATTCTGTGAAGGAATTGAGCTTTTATGTAATTTTTGTCGAACTCATGACGATTTGTACCATAGCCTTCATCCTAGTAGCAAAGGATAGGTAAATCATGTTCAATGTTTTTCTGCACCCTACTCGTTTGTTGTGTCAGGCCTCCGGTGTGGTACTTGATGCCCTGGCTGGCATAATGCCTAGAGACTTGTTTGTTTTACCTTATGCATGATCACGACACTTTCTTAAGCTTATTAAAAACCAAATAAAATTGTTCAACGTTCTATAGTGGGATTAAAAGTGTAAATCTACGTTCACCAGGTCGATGTGAAATAAGCCTTTAAAATCACCTGAATATAGAATAATTAGAATTTAGTCTCGGATAAAGCCCAACGGGACTTTTAAATGTGAAAGTGATCACAGGAAAGTGGCAAATGTTTTTTTTTTTTTTTTTGAAATAGAAGTTCTTTTTTCATGGGTTTGTGAACCAATTCGTGGGCGCCAAGGAATTCAGACGGGCAAATCGTCGGTCCGGCTGAATTAGTAGAATGATATAATGTCAGTTTGTTGAATTGGCTGACGGGTTAAACGTCGTTGAAGATTTAAGTCATCAAATGAAACATCGCAAAGATGGTTCGCTCTTCTCAAAGACTCATGAATAAGCGTCTCCAAAGTCCAAAGAATGCTTAGATCGTCACAGCTAAAGGAATTGTTAATTCTCTGAAGAAAGAAGAAACATTTCGTTATCTTTGCAAAGCTCCGAGATGCAATCCCAGTTTCTCTGCATTTACTTTTGTATTCAATTTCTGTTTGCAAAGGACATGGATCGAGTAATAACTAACCATTTCGGTCCAAGCATCCAGTGAAAGAACGCATTGAGTTTGATTCCATCGAACCTGAATTGTTGCGATGAGAACTCATACGCTTTCATCATCATCGCCATAATTTTTAATACACACACGTGATAGGTAAGCTTCACTCAAAGGAATTTTCTTTCAGACGTTACAACCACTATCCATTTAAATTTAAAATACTTTCAAAACATCTAATAAAATCAATCATATGGAATTATCCAAAAGATATTCGCATAAAATGGCTCCTTTTTAATGCAACGGCATTGTCATGCTTTTATGATCACATGCCATCATGTTTCATGTTGGCTTCATTACATTTTGACGTTTCAGATCGTGGGAATGTTGTTTACGTTTTACACCAAACAGAAAGGAAGAACCAAATAACAAGGGAATCGGTAGCACTCACTACTGTTTCTTCAATTAGAGACAAATGTGATCATCACTTCATCAGCCATCAACAATCAGCAAAACTCATTACTTGTTGTCAAAGAATTGCTCTCTTTTCTCAGAAATTAGCATGACAAGACAGTCATCATCTTGCAAATAGCTGTACTCTATTGACATGACAAGAAGAAGCAGGATCCTGGAGGCAGTTGCAAAAGCTATCCTCGTCCTTAGGAAAGGATGCTGGCAGAGGGTGGTCGGGCATGATGCCAACCTATACATAAGTCCAGAGGTTAAGTAAGAGGAAGAAGTTGGGAAGGAAGATATAGCGATTGAAGAGTCATGAAGATCACACCTTGTCGATATCGGTGTGGTCAGGTGTCTCATAACGAGCAACAGTAACGACCAATCCTGAACCATCGGAGAGCTCGAATACTGACTGAATCTTCCTGCAGGTAAGAAGAGCACTTGATGTGAGCGAATGGGGAATTTTGGTTTGGCTTGCTTAATTTAAACGTGAGCAAAGTTAACTACCCTTTTCCAAATGTGGGTTCTCCAAATAAGATGGCCCGTTTATTATCTTTCAACGCACCAGCCAATATTTCACTTGCACTAGCTGTTCCCTTGTTCACCTAAGATTGGCTCAAGAAAATAACAGAAAAGTTAAATAGGATACCTTATTTAAATCAAATACTGATTGATCTCAAATGGACCAGTATATAAAACACATAACAGAAATTGGAATTCTGAAGGACAGAACTTTTTAACCCAGATAAAAATCATTTTGACGCAAGCACAGATACCAGAACCCTCACACCCAAAGATTTCCCTTTTCTTGGTAATAAAGAGGGCACATGGACTGGGGCACAGAGAGTGAGAAAGGTACAATATAAAATTGATAAATCCATGTGAATCGCATCAGGACCTCCGGCACAAGTTTAGGGGAGATGCTAATTGAGCGAAGACTATCGGATTTCATATCAACATTACAGCAAGAATAAGCAATTTAAAGATGAAAAGGTTACCCTTGTCACAATCTCTGATACCAAATGAAATCAATGCAACTAGAAAAAATAAAAGAGATACCAATACAGCAAGAGGTTCTGATGTTGCTATGGCATTGCTTCCATCTGTGTCCAGTATATCTCGAACACCACGACTATCGCAAATATATACAATCACACCTTTGTCCAACCTGATTAGAAATATATGTTAGAAATTCAAGATGAAGTTAACATAATATTACTTTCACACAAGTATATAAAGTAAAATTAAGAATCCCAATTGGATGTTAAATATTGAAAGAACCTGACACCCAAGGTTTGCATTTCAATGCTAAACCACTTTGGCAAAGGTACTTCTGATAATATGGTCATAGGACGGTTAAGCAGCGCTTGTGTTAATTATATGTACATTAAGAAACACGTAAAAGTGTGATAAACATTTAGGTACAAGCATTTGATATGACGTACCCATTTAATTTAATTTAAAGCGAGCAAAGAAAATTTGATTGTTGTCTAGGTATTGCTTGGTGTTGTCTGAAAATAGAATATCTTTTTAGTATATCACAAAATAGTCTTTCAATTATTTCCATTTCTAGAAACATGAAATGCACGCATCAGTTTGTTTTACAAAATTGCTTCTTCATTTACAAAATGTCCATTTGCTTCTTCATTTAAAAAATTCTATTACAAACTCTAGAGTACAACCTACCATCACCAACCTGTTTTTTTCCATTCAACAAATACAGAAAGAAATTGCAGGGAAAAGCTAAGAACACTGGGGTGCTGGCCTTAGCACATGCATAGGAAATAATTGTGTTGTGCAATATAACATGTCAGTTTGCCAGTAGTTGATAAGCATATCTTACCAAATTTTGGCAATCTCGATTCCTTCTGGGAAGAGACCACCACTGCAGTAAATATATGCTTCAGAGAGACACCCTGCCAGTAGGCAAAAGCATAAAGGAGGAAATGCTAAATCACCTATTATCTCTAAGGTCCAAAACAAACGCATTAACATTATCGGTCCTCAATGTATTGATTGCTTCCTTGACAGCATCTGCAAGGGACAAAGATTAAAATTACAAAAGCAAGGACACAGTAAAACTAGAAAAACTTTCAACTATCTAAATCACATTTCATTTAACACACACGTAACTTCATTCTTCACATTGTAACCCCCAAAAAAAAATCTTCAGATGTTCCTTCAACTTGTGCATTAAATGATTCACAAAACAATCATATATGGAAGAGGAAGAAAATCCAAATTGGTTTTGATGTATCATATCTTTGTAATATAAGAGCTTGATAAGCGATTCACTACTTACTGGATGCCTTTTGGTTGAAAGCTGTTAGTTTGATATAACCAATTGACGGGGAATCATTTCCTGAAGCAGGCAGCTTGCATAATCTTGACTTTACTGGATTCAATGAAACTTTCTCTCGCCTGGAAGGCAGAAAATCTTACTTAAGAGAAATCTAAAAGAGAACAGTAGAGATAATAAACCAAAAAACCTCATGATGACAACAATGACCATTTCAACAAAATAATTTAAGTGGGAAACATACTACACTTACCATCGGTAGCTTAGTTGAACCTAGTGATACATTATAAAACTAGCTTTTCTAAGTATCCTCATAAATAAAAAGTACTTCTGAACTTCAAGCCTATATCCTATTTGCACGGAAAAAAAAAGTGTAATTCACCAAATTAAAAAAAAAAAGTAAAATCAAGATATACTTACATCAATGATAGGTGCTTTACTTCCTGACCACTCCGAAGGGTCAAGGCTACAGAGCTTCCATCAGGTCCCCTGCAATTTCCTTTTGAAGGTCAGGCAACCCAATATCATAATCAAGGAAAATACTGAGCATGTCAAGAAGATCCATGCTTTGAAATGTACGTTCAATTGCATAAAGACGTGGTGTTCAAAACTAGGAAGGGCCAGAATTTTAGAAATTTCTTGGAAACTAAATTATAGTGACATAACTAGATGCCATGCTCTAGATAACTGCTGGTGCATAAATTTACGCTTCATGCTTAGACCTAATGATTGGCAGTCATACTTAAGTACCAAAGGCAACAGATTCCATATATGATTAGCTCATACAGCATTGAGGAGATAGAGGCACATCAAAAAACCTTCCCTCTCTTTCTGAAGAAATGCTTCTGGCAAAACTAACTTCCATCAGTATCACATTAGCAGATTCAATCTGAAACTTCATCAATATATTTTTATTTTTGGGATACTAAATCTCATCAATGCTTGTATCAACATATTGCTGTACTTTTTACTTGCTGGAGGACAACTTTAAGATGTGAACTGAATTATATCTATTGATCTTTCCACCAGATTAACATTGTTTTTCTTTCATTGCTTTTTGGATTCTACCTATTCCTGGATGAGAATATTGATTTAATAGTAAAAGTTGCATCAAGGAGAGGAAACCAACTGTAGTCGTTCTGCTGCATCATATAACCCCATGCTTTCTGTACTTGTATCATCAATTGCCAGAATAACATCTCCTGACAAAACGCCAGCTCTATATGCAGGGCCTCCTGGAGAAGCTGAAATGACGACAAGTCCAGCAGGTGGTCCATCAACTTTTGTAGGGTAGCCTATTGACAGTCCCACACCTGTAAGAGATCCTTGAGTTCCAGACTGCCTTCAACAAAACATTATTTTTGAGATTAATATATACTGATGAATGTATTCTGCCAGATTAAGTAATGGCAATGTCCACATCTACAGTCAGGACTGTAAGCTAAATAATTTGAGATTAATATAAAGTGATGCATGTATTCTGCCGAATTAAGTAATGGTAATATCCATATCTGCACTCAAGACTTTATGTTAAATAAACCAAAGGAAAAGTCAATTTAAGAAAGATCCTCATACCCGCAAACTTTTGAATTTGTCAGGCTCCAGAAACCTTGTGAAAGGATCATCTAGTGTCGCAAGCATCTTCTTTATTGCTGAATCTGAGTACAAATACACCATTAGGAATTTGGAGCATATTAGGAAGATATATCATTTATGACTACATGTGATGATCTACTCATCTTCAGGTATCTCAAAATCAACTATATATACATGTGATGATCCACTCATCTTCAGGTATCTCAAAATTAACTACATGATTATCCTGAAACAATTTGCATCATATGGCTATCACTGATGAAAAGGTCAGAAGAGGGAAAATAGGATAGGAGTACTATTTATAATTAACCTTGATCAGTCTAGAGTCTAGACAAAAATAACATGATGAATGGGGGCCATGTCCTCCAACAGTCGCATTATATTTTCCATCATCTACTTCAGTTTGAAATAACATGCATGGAAGTATAAAAGTAAGCTTCTTTGTGATGATGAGAAACTTCGATCCTTTGGGCTCATCCTCTCTAATTTCTTGACAATCATGGCATACAGTACACATGATTCTCTCATAACCTTCCTTCATATATTAGACTACTAAAAGGACCCAGAACATGCTTTAATGAAAGAGGATCTACTTATATTCCCAATTTAGGATCTGAACAAGATTCTGATAACCACAATACTAGGCAAACGTGACAAATTCAAAGCATTGATGAGAGGCTAGAACAGACTAAGCTAGTAAGCTTCACCATGATAAGAAATCCTCAAAATTTTTCTGACATTCAAGCATCTGTATTTGACAAAACACTACTTTTCACTTATTCCTCCCTTCAGTTTCTTTATCTTTGCTAATAACTTGCCATATTTCAATTAAACCTTCCTACTCTCATCAAGTAGGGCTAAAGCTATGAAATTAAAAGAGTGATCCAATGACAGATCCTACACCTCAAAACTTATAGCTACTATGCATAGTTCTGTACGGAAAAAAAGGAGAATTTACCATCTTATTATATTTTCATTATCTGGCTTTTATTTTCATCATTGTCTACTTGGTTTGCTAATGTGGTTTTCTCTTTTGGCCAGAGTATTGCTAATGAGGTTAAAAAACAAATGATGTATATATTTAACCATATTTTGTTTACAAGGCCATCTAAGTCGATAATAACCCGTGTGTGAGGTAGCTGTAACTACCGATGTCACATCTTCATAACAAAGGGACGTGGAGAAAGTGGAGATCAAATAATCAACTTCACAAAATAGAATCCATACATGTCTCTTCTCGAGTGTTCATGGGCTCATTGCGCAGTGCATTTTCTCTATACTTAAACCAACTTTGTCCATTAAAAGTTTTGTCAACATATGCTCGGTCAATTGTTCTCCACGCCTCCAAAAAGAGGAGATTCTCTTCAGTGAGTGCCCCTTCGAAAGAAATGACACAAAAAAGGGAAGCATCATTAAGACGTTAACGTGACAAAAGTTGAGCATAAAAAAAAAAAAAAAAAAACTAAGTCAACTTTTAATGCTGCTATCCATTGAAAGTCTAGTATGAGGACAGATCATACTCACCGGATGAATTGCTGAAGACAAGAGAAAATGACATAACCAACATCACTCCAACAGCCAACCGCACAAAAACAAATGAGGCCTGCTGTCTGAAGTTCACTGAATAATGCGTTATTCTTTTAAGACTGGAATTTTTCCTCCATCCAGTAAGCCAGCCAGAAGTTATTGGAAACAAACTACGGTGAGCGGAACAGCTTTTGCTGAAGCTGGGTACCAAACGAAGTGAAAATTCAGTTTTAGAGCCTTTACTTCTGAAGCTTGGACCTCTTTTCCCGTTATACGTTAAGGAAAATGGAGTTCGTATCACCCCAACAGCTATAGGTTCCCACTTTGACACCTGCAAGGAGTCAAATGGCCAAAATACCTTAAAGAGGTGTTCATAACGTCATATGCGTTCTTCATTGGCCTATTACAGATTTTTCCCCTCAATTATATACAAAAAGGTAACACTCAATCATCTAATTATCCTTCTTTTCGTCATAACCAAACAGAAAGAAGGGACGAAATATGAAATTGGAGAAGGCGAATTAATGCATGAAGAATAAAAAAGGGAAGAGAAAGGAAAATAGAAGCTTTGGGAGAAAAGATAGAGAACCTGAGGTATGGAGAAGTTTGGGGCCATGGAAGCATTGATGGAGATGCTAACGACCTCCATGGGAAGAAGTGAAGCCCCGGTGTTCTTAAGCTTTTGGTTTCAGCATACACTGTGATACTGATACCTTATCGCTGCTCTCTTGTGCGAAGCGTTTTCCTACCTTGCACTCATCCTGTCTAATCCTTCCGTGTGCCAGTGGTCCTTGGGCCTCGACTAGAAGAAGAAAACCAAAATGCTTAAAAAAGAGAGAATTATCATAATTTACAATGGGAGAAGCACACTCAGGCCCTCTTAAAGAATATGCAATAGACTAAAGCTCGACGCATTTTAAAAATTAAAATAAAGTTTTAGGTGTCAGATATCAAAATGTCTCTCTTTCTTTCCTTTTTTTTTTTTTTAAGGTGTCATTGTCACCGGAGCTTCATGGCCAATGGGGAGGGTGTCACTAACACTGGCAATCAAATGTGCCAAGAGACCGAGAGAGATTTGAACTCTTGAATCCTTGGTTGATCAAAGTATAAGCCACCAATGAACCACCTATCACCAAATATTACATATATAAATGCATATACAAACATACATATTATGAATTTTGTTTCCGAGCATTTACATGAAAAGTTGTTATCTTGTATGAGTTATTATTAATATCCAAACAAAAACTTGTAATATATGAATGTGGTTTGTGAATATTCAAATAAATAAGTTCTTAATTTTCAAAATCTAACTTGTTTAATTTTGTATCACTTGTTCCTAAAATATTGACAAATTATTAACATTATGCTAAAAAAACAAGATATATTATAAGAAAAATATAATAAAATCACTTTAAATTATATAAATCATAATGTAATCTCTTGAAATCTTATAATTCAATTAAAGTTCTTGCAAATTTTTTCTATCATTAATGAATTAATATAAATAATTAAATTATACATAACATGTGAACTTGTGATTTACTGTTGCATTCTTGCAATTTTAAAGAAAAAATTATGATTTTTCAAAAAAACTTGTAATTGACACTTGTTATTTCTAGCATTTTAGCAATATCAAGAATTTGACATGCAAACTTATAATTTATTATTGTATTGTTGCAATTTTAAAAAAAAGTTATGATTATTTGAATAAAACTTGCGACAGAATCAAGAATAATTCGATCATTTATATTAATTCATTAACGTTAAAATTTTTTTAAGAAATTTAATAAAATTATGATATTTTAAAGAATCAGGTTGTCATTTATATATTTAAAAAATTTATTATCGTTGTCCTTATTTTTTACATCAAGTTTTCCAGCATTTTTGTGAGTTGTTATTAATTCTAGATTAATTGTTGCTACATCGGAACAACAATTTGTCAATATGAAAACATGATTTACCAATATTTAAGTAAAAACAAATGCACGAGAAATGAAGATTAGGTCTAGGGAATGGCGATTGAATGCAACGAGCTGAGCAGGGTGAGGAATGAAATTTAAAAAAATATATATACATATATAAAAGCAAGCTAACTTGCAGGTTAGGCAGGCAAGTTCACTGTAAGCTCGGATTAGACGTCGCGGTTTGAAATTGGCTCGCATTGATCACAACATAATTAACGTATCAAAAGCCTCGCAATTCACGGTCCAGCCCACATTACTTGCTCCAGATCCAGTGTCCATTTTGTTCGGGCATTAATACTCGGGGAGCTACACGGGGGTGGATTGTAAAATAAGCCATATTATATTTATAAATTATATATGATGTAATTTTTTATAAATAATATTATATGTATCAACATACTTGTATTGAAGTTGTGAGTGGAAAACACTCTCTTGGATACTTATATTTAAAACAGCTGGTCAAAAAAGATCACTATATTTAAAAGAAAAACAAATAATAATCAGATTTTAAATAAAGTTATTTATTTTAAATTTAGTGCCTGCAACAATATACTCCTTCCGTTCAATGTTACAAGACACATATAAATTTTAATTGAATTGCACCCAAATGATTTAGCTAATTATTTTTAAAATTACACGCCATTTTTATGTTTACTCTTATTTAATAAAATATCTCAATTAGAATTATATATTGAAAAATCTCATTAATTGCACTTAAAATATTAAAATACCTTATATTTTTAATAAGAAACATGACAATTAGGAATCTCATAAAAACTTTAAAATAATTAAAGAATCTAGATTGTTAGAATTTTAATAACAAACTATGGTACTTGCAACAAATTATCTTTTATTAATTGGTTTGAGATTCACAAGACTTCAGTAAATACCTAGCTAATACTATAAAGATTTTCAACTATTTTTTATTATTTTTCAAGCAATAGAAAAAAGTTATAAATGATTTACTTTTGATTCACAATTTATTATAGTAAATTTTTAACTAATAGTACAATTAGTTTAAATGTATTTAGTAAATTTTTCAGTAATTTATCTATATATTGATAAAAAAATAGTAGATGATTGACTTACAATTCACAATAAACTTCATAAGTTTCTAACTAATGTTATAGATAATTTCAAGTGCATTTGCTTAATTTTTTAAGTAATTTATTTGTATATTTACAGCAAAAAATTAAGATTAATAACTTACTCTCGTAAATTTTCAATAATATTATAAATAATCACAAGTGTATTTCGTAAATTTTCTAACTGAATATTTATATTTTTTTAATTACAAATAAGGGTCATAGTTTGTTATTGAGATTTTAATAATTTAAATATTTAATTGTTATTAATATTCTTATAAAATCTCTAATTATTATTTTTTTAATATTCTATATTAAAAAAAAAATCTTATATTTTTAAAGCGAAATACGAACTCGTAGTCACGATAAACTAGTTGGTTCAATCTATGTACCTCTATCCCCCCTTAGCGTCGTGTCAATTGTTTTCTACTAACTCCGAAGACCCATCGTCAGCTAATCAACCAAGATCAATTGCTTATTTTGAGTTTCACATGTTTCGGCAGTTTCGCTGGGAAGGAAAAAAAAAAAAAAAACAGACAGACAAAAAACAAAACCTTTGAGCGCGGTAGCAATGTGGTATACAATTATTTGTGAGAAGGGGAAAAGAAAAACAGAAGAAGCAACTGTTAGACGAGCTCCCTGGGGATAATTTTCTCTCTGAGATTAGGCAAGGTGCGGATTGTTTTCCTAGTCATGACCATGATGAGCAAACCAAATAATTTATGTTGCCAAGATTTGTTTCCTCTTAATTAACTATTCAGCATCACTTTGATTCATTACTCCTCGAACAAAATGGCCGAGAAATAGCGGGGAAACCGGCTGCTCTATCCGCCGAATGAATTACTGTATCTCACGAGATTCAGGAACATGTCAAGAGATAGAAATTGAAAATGGTAAGACTGGTCGATATATCCCAAGGCAACGGCAAATAATATTTTATTATCTGTTCAATGCGCCGGGGCCAAACCCAACCCCCCCCCCCCACCTGTCGCTTTTGCCTTCAGTTTTCCTCTGGCCTCGTTTTCCATCCGCGTGGGGAGGCCGCTCATCACAGTGATAAGACATGTGGTCCAAAATTTAAATTATTACTGTTATATATTTTATTTTTTAAAATAAAAATTTATAAAAAATATAAAATAATTTTAATAAATTTTTTATTTTTAATATAATTCAAATTTAATTTAAAGAATCGGATGTATATAGTAATTATAAAAATTTTAATATTAAATTTAACCCTTTAAATTAAATTTAAATTATATAAAAAATTATTAAAATTATTCTATAATTTTTATAAATTTTTTATTTTTAAAAATATAATATATAATAATAATTTAAATTTAAATAATTCAGATGTTTTATCAGCATGATAAGCACTCCTCAAACCAAACTCAGGAAATTTAACACCATCGCTCCAACATCATAAACATAATACAGCGTAGTTTTGAAGGGTCATTCTTACTATTCACTAAAAAACAAACAAATCACACAGTTCCAACTTTGCAGCGAAGATTAGGAGGCATGCTTATCTTTTGAAGATATAATCCCTCCACAACATGTGGCGCTGGCCAAAAGTTATGGCACGCATCAAAAAGACACAAATCTATGCATTCACCCAGATCACCAATGAACCTCAGCTCTGTCTGCTCTTCCAAACATGTTGGCCTGGCGCCATTATTACTCCTTGTTCTTTTGCGCTCCATATCCACGAAGTCCATCACCCTCCCCTACTGCCAAGCTCTCATTAATTGCTGCTGTAGTCGCTCACTTCCTTGGAGCAAGAATCTCTTCATTTTTTTTCCTCCCTTTTCCTTCACGTCCCCATCTCTATCATTCAAATTTTTTTATTAAATAATTTTTTTAAATAAAAAAAAATAATAAATGGTGAGAACGAAGAAAGTGAAGAAAAATAAAAAAAAAAAAGTGAAGGGATTCCACTTCCGACTTCAAACTTTCAAAAAAATTAAAGGCTAGCTTCAAACAACTAAACCTACACCAACATGCTTACATACACATTAATGGCAAGTGCAGAGTAATCTCTTTGATCGTGTTTCACAAATACTTAGCATTTCTCATCAATGCAACATTTTATACAAACAATAACACATGCAGTCACATTAACATCTTGAAATCATATTTGCAGAATCTACTGTGTGGTTTGAGCGCTTGCTGCATTCGGCATTCTTTCCATCTCCAACTGCATCCCATTCCTTGAGGATGAATCCTCGTACGCATACGCAAACCCACCGTGTCGGGTGAGATCCATACCCTCCAATTCATCTTCTCTGGAGATTCGCAATAGTTGGAGCTTGTGAAGAATCAAGAACAGAGGGCCCATGGTAACGCTGACCCACCCAATAATCACCAGAATCTCCACTATATTTGCCGCCAACAGCTTAGCCCCTCCTCCCATGAACAACCCGTATGGCCGATCCGCCGGTCCTCCGTACACCTCGTTCACGTACTTCTTCTTCGCAAACAGCGCCGTGAAGATTAAACCCCACGCTCCGCACCCGCCGTGCAGCTGTGCCGCCTCTAACGGGTCGTCAAACTTCATCTTCTCCGCCAGTTTGTTGCACGAAATCAGTACCGCCGCCGCTACGAACCCGCAAATGATTGCCGCCCACGGCTCCACGACGGAGCATCCGGCGGTGATGGCGGCGAACCCGCCGAGCAGCCCATTGCACACATCTGTCACGTTCCAATGGCCCGAGTCAATCCTCTTACCAAAAAGAGTCGTCAGAGCAGCAGTGCTACCGGCTAAGGTGGTGGTCACGGCGGCTCTACCTACCGCGCTCCACTGCCCGTAGTAGCTTCCAGGCTCGTAAGGGTTCAAAATCTTCAAGAACGAACCCGGGTTAAAACCGTACCATCCGAACCAGAGTAAGAAAGTTCCTAGAACAACCAAGGTCGCGCTGTGCCCGCGAAGCGAGACTGGTCGACCGGAATGGTCAAATCGACCAATCCTGGGCCCTTCTATGAGTGCGCCCCACAGACCAGCGACGCCGCCCACCATGTGGACCACACCAGACCCGGCGAAATCGATGGCGCCGGATCCGAATAGAAGGTCTGACTCTGGGCGACCAGCGTTAGCCCAACCGTCGGAGGACCAGACCCAATGAGACACAACCGGGTAAACGAAGCCGGTTAGGAAAGAGGAGTAGATTAGGTAAGCAACGAACTGAGTCCGCTCCGCGATGGAGCCGCTGGTTATGCCGGCGGCAGCGATGGCGAAGGCCCATTGGTAAAGGAAATAGCTGTAATCGTAGAGCTTCGACGGGAAGTCGGTGAGGCCGAAGGCATGACGACCAATGAACACGTTGGAGGGGGATCCAAAGGCGAAAGCGAAGCCAAAGAGATAGTAGAAGAGGCCACCGGCGGCTGCATCGAGGACGTTGGTGAGCATGATGTTCATGGTGTTTTTGGCACGAACGGAGCCGGCGCAGAGCATGGCAAAGCCGAGCTGCATGGAGAAGACGAGGTAAGCAGAGAAGAGAAGGAAGGTGTTGTCGACGGCGAAGGTGGTATCGTTGAAAGTGCTGCAGATGAGGTCGGCGGCGGCTGTAGCGTTGATGAGATTGGGACCGAAGTACTGGGTAAGGTTCGCGGAGCAATTCTCCATTGCCTTGGCGTGAGGGTAGTGAAGGAATAGCTGAACGCTTCTGCGGGTGGATAACGAAGAGGAGTCTCCGTCGTTTCCCGTTTGATGATGTTCGAAGTGAAGGGCTGTGAATGGTTGATGATTCAGTCCAAAAGAAAAATGAATGATTATATATATCTATATATATATATATATTGATAAAATGAATTATGATATTATTTTAACTTGTCCATATTTTGTTTAAGGTAACATTTAGTATATTTTATCAATAATTTTTATTTTTATTTGATATTTTACTGTTTAACTGTTATATGATGATAGGAATTAAAAATTATCAAAGTAATTCTAAAATATAAATATGATTTTTTAATAATGTAAACAAAAATATAAATTAAATATGTTAATATTATTAATGAAATAGTCTTTTTGTAAGAACAAAATTGTGATAATACAGCTTTTTGTCTTTTATATTTATTTCAATTATTAATTTGATTCTTTGAATTCAACTTTCATCAATTTAATTTTTTACATTTACTTTGATTATTGATTTAGTTATTTTTAAAAAAATAACATTATTAAAATTTGATGACATGAATTACAGAATGTTAATGACAGGTATATAAGTAAAAGTAAATTATAATTGTTTAGATAAAAAAAATTAACGCTAAAGTTTTAAAAATCAAAATACAATTTAGAGGATTATGTTAATAAAAATTAAACTGATTTAAAAAATGATTTATTATCATTTAGTTACATATAGATATCAAGTCATTAATGTAATTTGAAAATCAATTTTGTTTTAAAATTTAAAGAACTTTCATAATAGTTTAAGAAGATAAAGGAGATTAAATCAATAAAAATTAAAATTTAAGAAATCAGATTGATAACAAAAGCAAATTTAAAGAATTAAAAGTTTTGTTATCAAAAAAAAAATCGATCATTACATGCGCACATATCAAATTATATCTTTTAAACAAGGAGAAAACAAATGTACAAAAGTATAAAAACTTCACCGCTAATGAACATGGATCTGTGATGGAATGTGTTGTAACATCTTAAGCTTAACTGCAGAACTCTTTTGAAAACTTTTAAAATAGTTACCTTTAGTTAGACTAAATAATTATTGTTTTAGAGTCAATTGGGCATTAGGATCAAATATGGGAAGAAATGAATTTTTGTTTTGTAGTTAATTTAATTCAATTTTCAAAGTCAGAAAAATTAATTTAATTTTTATATTTAAATAATCACCTGTAGAAGTAACGACCAGCGTTAATGCGAGTCCCTAAACTTGACAAGAAATAACTGCATTATTATAGGAGCAGTATAGTTGTTTGAACGAGTCCAGAACCTCCTATGAATCTATTTATTTCTATTTCTCATCGTTTAGATTAAAATATAAAACATCATTTAAATAAGTTACAAAATTAATTGGGTTAAATAATTAAAATGTTAGGCTGAATATAAATAAAAAAAATTGGCCCCAATATTCGATAAAGGCCGCAATAAATAAATATATTGAAATTTCGTCAGCTGTAAATATTAGACCATTGGCATGAAAGGACATGATTTCAAGTAACGTTACAACCTACCTTATGTAAATATTTTGGTAAACGGGCTGATTACCAAAATGAAGGGCATGAAGTAAGGATAATGTCATATGGTTCGCGAGATCCCTAATTCTTCAGTAAAGCGGCTAAGTCTTTAAGAAAAAGATTACCAATATTCTGACACTATAAATAAAAGATGAAGACATAAAAAAATTAAGTTAATACTCAACTAAAGACTCACAATTTTATACTTTTTAATCTTTTAATTTATCAATTAATTTTTTAATTTAGATTTATAATTTTTTTGCATGTCAATAAAATTAAACATTTATTTATTAAAATTTTATATTTTTTTATATTTAAGTGAATTATAATAAAAAAATTTATTATTAATTGAAACTCAAGCGCATGTATCACACCTAATATTTATTCTTCACACACGAACACCCACATGCCGAAAGAGGAGCACCAAATTTTGCTCAAAAAAAGAAAGAAAGTAGCACCAAAACGCCGTACTCCCTTCTACTCACATCAGCTTGGTTCGGTTCGGAGTCCTGATTTTACTCTTCTCGTTGCGGCGTACGGCCCCAGTATATAGCTCTTCTTCCTTCCTTCACGTCCATATCATGCCATTGCTGCTATCCAGGGCCTTCTTATCCTTATTCGTCCCATCCAAACCCTCATTCTCCAATTCCATGGCTCTTTTTCCCGCAAATTCTTGTCCCAAAGCTCGCCTTCGAGGCGTCATTTTTGACATGGACGGCACCCTCACCGTCCCCGTCATCGATTTCGCTGCCATGTACAGGGATGTGCTCGGCGACGATGAGTATCGCAGGATCAAGAAGGAAAATCCCTCTGGAATTGACATCTTGAACCTCATTGAGGACTGGGATCCCGAGAAGCAGCGTATTGCTCACGAGACTATCGCTGATTACGAGCGCCAGGGACTGGATCGCCTCCAAATCATGCCTGGTTTGTGGTTCGCCCTCTCCCAATTGTTCCTTCTCTTCTTTTGCAATTCTTTGATCGTGGTGAACAGTTGAATTTTTCGGAACAATGTTGATGAAATTTGTTAGGATTTAGGAACGAAGTAGCGTGCGCTTCCTTATGAAATTCGGTGACATTCTACTTGTTTCTGCATCGTTGTTCTCCTGATATATAATTTAATTTGACTACACTGCAGCATGTTCACGCTAGAAGTTTAGTATGTTTGCGGGGAACAGAGGTCGATACTTTCCATGAATATTTAAATTTATGTTCACTTGTTTTTTTTTTTTAAATGATATCATAGTTCATATTCTGGTCAAAATGAAGACGACCTTTAGTTTTTTGTTAATAGATTACAAATTAGTTGGTAGAGTTTAAATATTCTGTTTTGTGGTGCAGGTGCAGCTGAACTTTGTGGTTTTCTTGATTCGAAGAAACTAAGGTCAAGTTAAGAACATTATCATCCATTTCTTGTGTCTTGACGATATTCTTTGTCTTTTACAGTCAATGCGATTTCGGCCTTTGACAATAATTGTAATTTCTAAGTTTCGATATTGTATTCCTTTTTTGGGAAATTTACATCTGAAGTTCCATATAGCTGCCTTTCTTGAGAACAGTTTCTTTTGCGTCATGTTATGTTCCCTATTATTGGTTTTGTTTATTCTTATAATTTTTGAAACATGATATAGAGCTACTAATTGTTATATTTCTCCTAGTGAAGGAGTAGCATGTTATGCTAATATGTAAGAGATTGATAAGTCAAATAAGCTGCAAAAGCATTCCATTTGCTCTAAAGCTATAGCGAAAGCTTTAATTCTTCCATTTCTGCCATTACGTTTAATATGAGGAATTCTAAGTTATTAGAGGGACAAAATGCTTTTCTGGTTCATACTAGGAGGAGCTTCAGATATTAAAAGTATGGCTCCAGCTTGTCATTAAAAAAAGAAGAAGAAGAAGAAGAAGAAGGTATGGTTCCAGCTTCCCTGCCGTGGATTATCAGGCCAGAAGTAAATATTTAGTCGAAAGCTTTACCGTGCAACGTAGAAGAAAGATATTTGGACTTAAACAGGGTTCAAATTTTCCATTTTGTGACCTTTAAATGATATCTCCTCTGCTTTATGAGCCTTCCAATCATTATACTACTTGGGGTGTCTTTGAATTTTAATTACTACTTTACCAAAAATATCGTAGCCTTGAAAGTTTTTATGCTAGCTAGGGACTGTTTGATTGGTGTTCGAACCCTTCCCTTCTTTTACAGGTTAATGCTCTTTCGTTCTTTGATTAAACATCTAATGTGTTTGCATTTCAAAGTGTGAAGTAATTTACTTTTAAAAACATTATTTATTTCTGGATTGAAAACATCTGACTGATCTTGGCCAACTTTCTTAAAATATTTTTAATGACAACTTTGTCTTATTTCTTATGTTTGTAATGACATGTGCTGGGCAAATGACTGGAGAGCAGTGGCCTTGCTTCTGTGCTCAGGGCTGTTCAATTCCAGTTAATTGACTGTTTAGTTTGTTGGGTGTACTAGCAGAAAGATAAACTGCTTCTGGCTTGATGTATGTGTTCATAAACCTCTTATGGCTTTGGATGCATAGCTACATTTTTAACTTCTCTTGAATTTAGGTTGCATCAAATGCTCCGTGAATTATTGTATGTGGATTTAAGTTACTTGCAACATTTCAAGTCATCTAGTTGTGACTTCAATGGCGTATGAGAGTTCATTGACATAGACAATGGCATCAAATAATGTGTTGCATGAACATGTGTGGTTTTATATACTTATCATTAATCTATGTTCACAAGTTAAATGTTTCAATGTCATGTAGACAACAATATGGCAAGTTTATGATAATGGAATTTCTCGGCATATGTTTCTTTTGATTACACCTCCTATTTGTGTTTGCCAAGAAAAAAAAAGATTGCATATCCTATGTCTGGTCATTAGAAAACTTCATTGCAAAATTGATTTTTTTTTTTGGGACCAATGCAATAGTGTTTTTTTGATAGTGATGTATGCTACTCATGTTGATTGAATTGGTTTGAACTTGGTTTGGATGAACTGGTTGGTGTCAACAATGACAGAGTTGATAGTTCTAGTCCTGGGCTATGGCTCTATTTCAAAATTATTCATGATAGATAACTTTGTCTGTCCTTGTGCAGGAGGGGATTGATCACACGCAATGTGAAGATGGCGGTTGATATATTCCAGAAACGATTTGGGGTTAGTTTAAATAAATGCAGTTGTATTCACATGCCGTTTTTTGGGGCTGGCCAGGTCCCAGGTGTGGTTCAAAATGATGTGGAGGCTGTGTAATATGAAAAATAACACCCAACCTTTATTTCCATGAGAAGAGCGACATGAATGCAGTTCAAACAGCATACTTGTATTTGTTGCTTGTAACACTGACCAGTCCGTATGATAACATGAAAGTTTTACACATACACCTGGGCAGAGGGTGATGCTTTCTTGATGTTGCATTTTTATCGATTTGTTGACAAAATATAAATGATACTATCAATATACTGTTACATGTGTGGTGAATTTAGAACATGAACATGCCTTTTGTGGTGCATTGTTGTAAAAGCTATTGTGCTTCTCATGCTGCAGATTACATTTTATCCAGCATTAAGCAGGGAATTTCGTCCTTATAAACCAGATCCAGCTCCGTTGCTGCATATATGTTCAGCTTGGGGACTTCAACCAAATGAAGTGATGATGGTAGGGGATAGCCTTAAAGACGATGTGAGTAGTTCTTTTCCGGATAACACAATGTCCTCACTACGTGTATACAGCTACAGGAATTTTGTTGTCTTCGTAACCAAGAAAAAGAAAGTCTTTATTCTGATTACTGTCTTGATGTTTATGTAGCACTTGTAGATCCAATGGTTTCTCTTTTCACCTATTAAAATCTAGACTCTCCAATGCTTCATACATATACTTGTACTGTAGAAGGAGGAAGAACCGTAGAAAGAATGTTCAAACCAAATTCCGTGAGGAGAGAAAAATTGAAGATATTCATCTAACCCAGGGGTTTGTAGAATATTTCAGGTTATCTAATCTTTTCACTAGATTTAGACCAAAAAAGAGACGGATGTATGCATAATTCATTATTCACGCCATATTTTTTCCTTATGGCACAATGCACACGTAATTAGAGTGCATGAATAAACTGGTCTTATTAGCACCGTAAAAATTTGGCGTTGTCCTACAATTTGCATTTCCTATTTTAAATGGAACTAAATATCTGGCACAGTTATGAATTAGCTTTAGTGCGTGTTACCCCCGGTGTAATACTAAATATTTCTGAAACTGCACATGTATATTGATTGATGTTGCTTGAGTTTTTTCTTTTTTACAGGTTGTTTGTGGAAAGCGAGCAGCAGCTTTTACATGCTTGCTTGATCAGACTGGAAAATATGATTCTCCTGTGTATGCCGATGTTGAATTCAAACCTGATTACAAGGTGACTTCCCTTGCTGAAATTCCCTCAGTTCTGGAAGCAAATTTTGAGCTGGTACCATGATGCCGAGTCCTGTTCACTAGAAGACATTAACACTCACCCAAGCGATTTTTTCTTTTTTTCTGACTGGATCACCCCAAGCGATTTAGCTTGAGGTTAATGCAAAGCATTGTGTCGAGGGTCTTTTTCTATGCCTCCGCTTAGGTCATTGAGAAACAAGAAACCTCTTAAAAATGATACCACGGCATCCAACAGATACGGGTTCAGAGATCGATGGATCTCATACATTCTTGTGCCCCAGAGTCTAGTAGGCTATGACTAAACCAAGCTCATTTTTTCTTCGGCATTTGGTGGCTCCAGTTTTTATTGGACGCGATTCTTCGACTCATGGTTGCCGTTGTAGATACGTAGATACTGATAAAGCCACAACTTGCAGCATTGCTTATCACAACGTGAACTCCATTCGAACTCAATGCCCGTATGGAGTTGGGGTTTGGCTCCCCCCGCCCCCACCCCAAAACTTACATTTCTTTTGTTTTTCTAGCTAAATTAACTTAAAGATAATGCTAATCACGACTTTGACCATGGATATCTAGAGCAATGAATTTGAATTCCGATTAGTTGGAGAAATTTTTCACGGCTTTGAATTCCATGAGAAAAATACTAGCATTGTAATCGGTCAAGTGCACCTTTAACCGTGAATGATTCTAACAAATTGATAGAGGATGACATTATAGTTATACTAGTGAGAATCTAAAGGGTAAAGAATGATAGATGACATTTCATTCCATCGTAGCCAACTTTAATTACTTCACTGATTTGGCTCTTGGAATCGAAGTAGTTAGGTATTATTTGACACTAATGCTCGTGCATTACATTAGTTTATACATGTGACTTTTTTATACATCAAGACAATGAATAATTTAAAAGCGTAAAGGAACGATTTAAAATCTCACGAGATTTTAAGTTGTTAATAATAATAATAATAATAATCTAATCCTTTTTCCCCAATCCAACCCTTGAGCCCACTCTTGCTGTTGCCACCCACTGTTGCATAGAACTCAATCACTTAGAAATCATACATCACCGCCTAAGCCAGCGTCCATCTTTAGATAGGCCAAGGGTCTATTTCACCAGCACCCTTAAATTCCATCATATTGTCGCTGCTACTAGGATGCAGACATAATCACGTAGAAAGTTCAAGTTTACACCAGAACGATCCTGCAAATAGCTTCTTGCGAGCAGGCAAGTTTTGGGACGCTTGGGCAGGCGAAAGGGATTATTTGCAGTAATGGAACTACTGCACTCGAGGAGTGTGAGATAAAGACAGAATTGTTGGAACTCAACAATAATTGCCACGTCAAACTACCATGCCAAGATAAACATCCAGCAACTACCAGCAACCACACCATTGCTATCTTTCTCATATTTACTGACCTACATGTCTTGATCTCACTCTACATTCCTTGACTCAACTCTATTCCTAACAATCCCAAATTCTACACAATAATTTAGGATTGCATTTGGATGGATAAATTCATATTGAAAATTTAAATTTAAATATCATATTTGAAATTTATAGATTCTAAAATGTTTGTTTGGATAATATAAAAAATTTTAAATTATAATATTAAAATACTTTGTTTGAATTTCAAGTAAAATTTCAAATTTTAAATTATATGTTTGAATTTAAAAGCAACTTGGACAACGTTAGTGATCTAGTTTCATCAAAGTCAATGGCCAACTTCTACCAAGACCAAACTGCTAGCGCTTACTGGCATTAAACGATAGACTTCCAGAGGGACCATACCATTGGCAATTATTGGACCAAAATGGCCCGACTTCCATCGAGACCGTATCATCGGCACCAACCAGGCTTGATTGCTGGTACCAACTGAGATAGGATTGTTGTGTTGATCGAGACCAAACAGCCAACTTCCATTGAGACCAAATCTCCAATGCTAATTGAGACTAAAGTGCAAGGGACTATTGGGACCAGACGGTCGACTTCCACCAAAATTAAACCACCGATATCGACATAGGCAAGACCGATCATCACCTACACTCTAATCTTGGTCAGCTCCAACAATCCAATCCTAGTCAAGGTAGCTGGTTCAGTCCCGATTAAAGTAGTTGGTCCTTGTCGTAGTGGAGATTGTCCAGTCCTAATCGATTTTGACAGTCATGTCTTAGTTGGCACCAACAGTCTTGTCTTGTTCGAGGCTAGTGGTCTGGTTTTGAAGGAAACTGTCCAGTGAAAGTCAACAGTCTAATCCTCGTTGTCAACTACACTCTGGTCCTAATCATCGCCGACAGTTAAGTCTCGATTGACATGGGAGATTCAGTCCTTATGGAATTCAACCGTCTGGTCTAGATTGGTGTCGGTTGTCCGATCCCAGTTGGTGGTGGCAACCCGGTCCGTTCAGCAGTGGTGGCAATCTGGTCCTAGTTGCTGTCAGCAATCTAGTCCTATCAGGCGTTGTTGACAGACTAGTCAAATTACAAAGAATTGAGGTAGAAATTGAATTTGACAATAGATTTAATTCAAATCCAAATCTCAATTCCTATACATCCAAACATAGCAAAAATAGTTGGGGAGATATAGTTGCATCTCTCTCTGAAAAACCATGCTTCTTCATCCTACAGGCGCCATTTCTTCATCTCTTGACTGGAGATCATGGAATGTTATACTGACAACCATCTGTATCAAGTAAAGCAAGCTAGACAAATTAATTGAATAGTGAATGACACGAGGTACATGTGTTCTGTGTATGTAAAATAATTGACCTCAGCCATAGTATGTGCATTTTGTTGGCTTCTCTACCAGCTGTGAACTGTTAAAATCCTCTGTGCAAGAAGTGCCCAGCAATTGAGTTTGAGCATTCACCAGCACAAAATCGCCAGGTCCATCAACTGCCAGCTGCCAAGACAGCAAGTGATATAATGAAAGGTAAACAAATCCTTTTCTTGGTCAAGGGCAAAGAAATACAGGGGAAACCAAATCCAAGTATCAACATGCCAGATTGTGTTATTTAATATCTTTCAAACATCTTATACCAGGAATTTTGGCATGCCAAAAAAGCATGGCTTCCTATAAATAAATTGTAACAATGTATAAAACATGGGTATTGAATGGGGCACACATCATGGAATAAAATTTGAAGTCGACAGGTAGAATTGGAAGTGCCGTGTCATTTAAGTTGTCCAAGGTTCAAAGCTTACGACTAAAGTCACGTAAATAGACATTTCAAGCAAGAATTTTGTGTGCGTGTGTTCATTTTATTCTGTTACATAACAATATGGAAATAGATAAGCTACAGCCAGAAAGATAAAAAAGCAAGACATTACGAAAAGATGAGTAAAGTGAACATAGAGACAACTAAACAAAAAAAATATTTGATGGTAACAACTCTAAAATTTACAAATATGATTTACGTTGACAGATTTTGAGATATATCCGCAGATTAAAACAAAGAAGATAAGTAATAATAGAATGAAAGGACTTAATTTACAAGCTAATAACGAGAAAATTTTACAAAGACCTGCGTAAGGCATGAGTTGCCAAAAGACATGAAGGGATATAAGAGGATCCCAAGTTCATGAAGAAAAGATACTCACCGAATACCACGAGGTATGGTATTGTTTCTCTTTCAAATTTCCCTGCAGAAAATAGGATGCATGATTAGTTCTCTCAATAAATCTATCTCAACTCATTACAACAATAACGAAAGACAAAACAAGGCAAAAATAAGATGAAATCCTGCAATCCTATAATCCATTTAAACTACTCAAGCTAACACCTGCAAGGCAAAAACTAAGCAGATGAGAGGCTCAACAGTACCTTGTGCATGGTAGCTGCAAGCAACTCTGCATATATTTATATAGATTTCAGATCATCTCCTATAGGGCTTTAAATGGTACTTTTGGAACTCTGAACCAAATGTTATTGATTCCTCATCAAGCTTTTTCTTCAACCTTCTCCAAGTTCTCAACATATCAGATTGTATTAAGCCTTTGTAGAGGGTCTCAAAAGTAACTTTCTGAGGAAGAAACCCATTCTCGATCATCTCAACAAAATAACCGCAAGCCTGCCGCCAGTTTTGTTTCTCACAAAGTTCATTTATTAGTAGCGTATAGGAATCTAAATCTGGTCCCACCCCAGTTTCTTTCATATCATTCCATAGTTGTTTCACAACCTCGATTTTGTTTAATTTCAAAAACATAACAATTAATATGTTGTATGTGTGCATGTTGGGCATGCAAAAACCATCTTCCTTCATTTTCTTGAACAACTTCAAAGCACTATCTGCATCCTTTCTGCCCCTATATTCCTTATAGAAGCAATTATAGGTTGCAGCACATGGACTTATTCCGTTCCTTACCATCTCATTGAGCAACTCCCCAGCATCTTCAAGCCAGCCACATGAACAAAGACATTTAATAACGGAAGTATATGTCACAGCCGTTGGGCAGATTCCTTTCTCCTTCATCGATCTTAATTTATCAAGGGACAGTTGCGGTTTATGAGCCCGACTATAGACATGGAGCACAATGGAGAAACTAGTAACATCTGGCTCAACCCCTCTCTTGTGCATTTCATCAAACAAGTTATCAGCATTTCTTAATGTCCTTTCAAATCTTTCTTCTGGGTGTAAACTTGCCCGCCTACAAATTCCATTCAACAACACATTATATGTAACAACATTAGGCTCAAGTCCTTTCTCCACCATGTCCTTCAAGAACCCCTCTGCCATTTTAATGCGACCTATCTTACACCAACCATAAATCAAAACCGTGTACATTTTCACATCAGGCACAAACCTGTGCTTCTTTTGGTTAAAAACTTCAACGGCAACTTTCACGTACCCGTACTTACAAAGGGTATCCAGCAAATAACAGAAATCTTCAGAATGCACCTTCTCCTCCACAAAATTATCGATGTCATCGAATGCACGTATTGCTTGGCGAGTAAGCCCAGCAGAAATAAGCCTGCGAATCATTATCAAGAAGGTAGTAGAAGTGGGGTTGAGCTTTCTCTGGTCCATCTCGATGATGAGTTGCCAAACGACATCGAATTGGCGAACCCTGCCCATGATGTCGATCATGAGGTTGTAGGAATCGGAGCTGAGAGGTGGATCGGGAAGGGATTTAGAATAATTGAAAAGGGCAAGCGCGATTTTTGAAGAGTTCCTGAGGCGGAGGAGGACCTCGTGTAAAAGGTGAGGGGTAAGGGTGATTCCATGGAGCTGCAGAGAGGACTCCGTGGCATGAAAGGGATTATGGTGCTGGAGAAGGATCCTTGATACCAGTTCGGAGTCATTTGAATACTGAACGGTTGGGGATGAGCTGTTGTCGTGGTCTTGGTGAGGCTGTGAAGATGAAGATAGGCGGTGGGGCAGCGGAGCAATGGCGGGGAAGAGTCTCGCAGAGACGGCGGCGCTGATGCTCCGAGCGGGGACCTTGGGAAAACCCATGGTAAAATCCAAGAAGTGGTATAGTTTCCTTCCGGACTAATTGTACCGGGTAGAACTGTGCAAAAGGCTTGTGGTCCAATCTAACCCGATCCGGCTCATGAAAACTCGATCCGGTCCGGTCTTGAAAGATGCTGCTCCTGTAGAACCAGAAAAACTAAAAAGACAAGACTAATTTTTCAATAAGACTGGACCAAAGACCAAACATCTGGACTAAGTAGTCCAATCTAGTCTTATATAATTATTTTAATATAATTAAAATTAATTTATGAATTATTGATTCATAAGTCTTAGTCTTATTGTCTTAGTTAGTCTCATCTTACGTGAGCCAGATAGATTGATAGGTTAGTTCACTACCATTCTCGTTAACGAAGCCCTAGCTCCTGCCTTTCGTAGCTCTGCTAGTGTACTACCACTGTCGATCACATCTATCGTCGCCTCTTGCATGTGATTCACCCTTGAGCACGTCACATCATCGCCCTACCCTTGCTCTCCATCACCCCTAACCTCTGATTCATTGTCAGCACGTTACACCTTTGACCATGCAGTCGCCAGGTATGTTCATTTCTAGTTCTAGTTTTTCACATTCCTTTTCCCGTTGAATTCTTCTTAATGGAATTGCATATGCCATGAAAGATGGGTGTTTTATAACTGTTGTTTGATTAGCAATCATGGCTAGTTAGTTTGATTCATTGTTCTTAATGAACTAAGCTTTTATTGAACTTTTCAGTGGTTTATTATGAATGATGGTTTTATTTTTGCTCTGTTCACTTGTTTCTGTTCCTTTTTTGCAACATGAAGCAAGGTAAGCCATCCTCTCCCCACTTGTTTGACCCTTTGTCAATCTCCTATGCTCTTATCAAATTTCAAATTTATTTATCTACCATAGCAATCATAAGGTTAGGCACAGTGAGAGAAAATTCTCATAAAATAATGATGTTTAGTTGATCATAGTGATGATGCTCTTATTTCAATATTCTCATTATGCCATCTTATTTTTGCATTGGTTTTTAGCTCCTTACCAGAGCCACTACTTAATCATCATGCTATTTTTGTTTTAATCTCTAAGTTACGTGTATGGTGTATGATAATACTTTTGTTACCTACAATTAGATCGGTTGCATTGGAGATAGGAATGAGTAGATATGAATGTTGTTGTTGTGTTGTTGACCTCTTAGAGAAAGAAATACTATGCCCTTCCATCTTTTAATTCTGGAGTCTGGACACGTTAGAAGTTATTATCGTTCTTTATTACATCTACTTTTATTGTATGAAAAAACATTAAATTTCCTTGTTGTTCTTTCTTTTGTTGTTGTACTGTTTCATTTTTTTACTTGAAAAAAGATGTTATGCTTTCCCTTTTCCTAAAAAATAATGAATATATATGTCCCATCTCTTTCTTTTCTCACATGGCATCCATACATTAGATGAATGAAGACACCGAAAAGGATTCTTGTTGGAAGTTACAATGTCTGAATGTTATTGTTTATTATGTCATGTAATGTGATTCAGTTTAAAGAAGTCTCCTTATTTAATCTCATTGGTAATATTTTGTATTTTATTATTGTGAAGTGATGGATATTGAGCAAACATCTAGCATTGACCAAACTTATTTGTCTCTTTTTACTGGTGAAAATGTGAATTCAACTCCTTTTGGACCATCTTTGACACCTACTCCACCTCCCCGGCCCCCAACTACTATGGAATGTCCTCCTTCTCTTACAACTGTAACTGAAAATGAAGCTATAAAAGATAGTAGAAAGAGAAAGAGCTCTACAAGAAAGGTATCAAAAGTGTGGGAACACTTTACTAAATTATCATTGGAGGAGACAAATGGAGAAGTTAGAGCTGCATGCAAGTGATGTAATTTAGAGTATGCTTGTGACTCAGGAAAATATGGTTTAATATCCTTGAAGAGGCATGTGCCAAAATGTCCCAAGAATCCACATAAGGCTACATAAATGACAAAACAATCTATATTGAATTATGTGATACCAAGTGGGTAAAAAGGAAGCTTGGTACCTCACATGTTCAATTAGAAATGATGTCACGGGGCTCTAGTTGAGTTCATCATATGTGATGAGATGCCATTTAGGCTTGTTGAGAAGGAAGGCTTTAAAAATTTTGTGAAAGAGTTAGAACCACGATTTCAAATCCCTTTAAGAATAACAGTGGCTAGAGATGCCTAACAATTATATCTTGGTGAAATTAGAATCTTGAACAATTTGTTGAAGAAGTGTACTAATCGTCTTTGCCTCACTATAAATTGCTAGACATTAGTTCAAAACTTCAATTATTTATGTTTGACAACCTATTTCATTGATAATAATTGAAACTTGCATAAAAGGATTCTAAATTTTTGCATGGTTGAGAATCATAAGGGTGATACGATAGGGAAGACAATTGAAAGATGCTTATCAAATTAGGGCATACAAAATGTGTTCACTATAATCATGGATAATGCAACTTTCAATGACACAGCCTTGTCTTACTTAAAAAAGCGTTTAAAGAATTGGAAGGGTCTTGTTTTGTGGTGGTGATTATCTTCAACTACGATATTCTATTCATATTCTTAATCTAGTTGTTAATGATGATTTAAAGGAGTTGAAAGATACTTTTGAGTCCATTTGAAATGCTATTAGGTATGTTCGTTCATCTCCTGCTCGCTTGTAAAGATTTAAAGATGTTTGTGAATTGAAAATGTTGGATATAAAAAGTATTGTTTGCCTCAATATTAGTACTAGATGAAATTTTGCATATTTAATGTTGGATGTTGCTTTGAAGTTTTAAAAGGCATTTGAAAGATTAGAAGATGAGGATGAAGATTTTGTTAACTACTTCAACAGAAGTTTAAAGCGTCATGCTTAAAGTGACTTTGCTTGTTTAGATAGTAGTATAGATGCCTATGTTTATAGGCAAGGTGCTGGACCTGATAATAACATGAATGCTTTTGCTTACTCTAGGCAAGCTCCTCCTAAGCGTAATGGCCTTCTAAACAAATAAGATTGGAATAAAGCACGGTTCTTTCTTGAGTTCTTGAAGGTATTTTATGATGTCACTTTACAATTTTCTAGCACATTGAAAGTTACTGCACATACATGCTTTCATCAAATTGCTTTAATTCAGGAGTTGTTAGATGAGAATATTGAAAGTGATGACCTTCTTCTTAGGGAGATGTCTTTGAGCATGAAGAGTAAGTATGATAAGTATTGGGGGTAGCAGTTAATTTGAACCCTCTGTTCATTATTGTTATGATTTTTGATCCTTGATACAAGCTTGCTTATATCAACAATGTATTTGATCCTCTTTTTCCTAACCCTGAACTTTGCATGTCCATGAAGAACAAGGCAAGAAACACTTTGTATTGCCTATTTGAGGAATACTCTACAACAATTGGTCCTGATACAAGTAGTTTTGGTAGTGCCAACTCTCCAAGTACTCCTGACACTAATACTTCAAATGCAAATAAAGGTAAAAAAAGACCCTAGTCATAGATGGTTAATATCCTAAAAGTAGTAAAAAAGCTCATCAGTTAATATCCAATCAGAGTTGGATAGATACCTTTCTGCTAGGGCATCTAAAGACACCCCTAATGATGATGATGATGATTTTGATATCTTGACATGGTGAAAGGTTAATTCTATTAAATACAGAGTGCTTTCGTTGATAGCACAAGATGTATTGGCTATACCAATATCTACAATTGCTTCTAAATCAGCTTTTAGCACTGGAGGACGTGTTGTTGATGATTATAGGAGTTTTTTATCTCTTAAGATGATTGAAGCACTCATTTGTGCCTAAAATTGGCCAGTTGCAAGGTAGCCTCTTTCAAAATTTGTCTCTATGCTTTATGAGGTTGATAATTTTCAAGAGATTGACAACGTGGTTAATGTTGCAGGTAATATATTCAATTTTATATCTCTTAATTTAATTTATATATTGCATTTTTACACTTATTAATCACTTTATATATGTGTATATAATTTATTTTGACAAATTCTTCAAGTATTATTGACGCTAATGAGATAATTATTTAAAAATTTGTTGAGTTTGTTTTTATTGAAGCTAAGGAGATAATTACATGACAAATGTAATGTAGTCTCGAACTTTATTGACTGTTGTTTTTGTTGAAGTTATAAATTTAAATCATTTGGAGTTTGGACTGTAATTGAAATATTTTTTTCTTGTTGTTAGAAATCATTATGGATTTATTATGATTATAAATATTTTTATTATCTTAATTGAGTTTATCAGTAGAAATAAATTATCGCTTATCATAGAAGAAAAGAGAAAAAAAAGGCTAAATGAGTAATGAACTAATAGAACCAGTCTCCTAATCCTATGGATCAAGTCCAATCCTATTAATTTTTGGGTTATTACAAGTTGCCTAATCCAATCTTTTTCATGAAAAAGACCAGACTCCAAGTTAGGCTAAAGTTTAATCCCGTCCAGTGCTTTATGCAGCCTTAGCACCAGGTGTGAAGGCAGAAACATGATGCCGTTTCGCATTAAAAAAGACGACTAAAGGACATTTTTGTTTTTAAATGATACATTCTCTTGTGTCTTTTTTTATAAATCATCTTCTATAAAATTTCTTTTCATCTTTTACATAATTCACTTTCTTTTGATTTTTGTAATTTTTAATATTAATTTCAAAATTACTCTCCAATAAGTTTTTTTAAGTGTAATATATTTTAATTTCTTAAAAAATTATTTTCACATATCAAATCATTTTTTAAAAGTAGGAATAAAATTAAAAATAATTTATATTTAAAATAATTTTATTATTCTAACTGACTTACATTAATTTTGATGAGTTCATAATTGTGGGAGCCCATAGGCAAATAAGACTATTGCCTAAGGCCCCCATAAAAGCCTTGAATACTTCTAATATGTATAAATTAAATATATGGATTTGTACTGTAATAAATGTCAAATGAAAACAAGTAAAGTTTTAATTAATTTACTTATTGAAAACTTTTTTACATTCTCAAAATAATATTCATTTATTGGGTTTGTCTTAACAACCTAATCATTAATTATTATTTATTCTCTTTTTACAATTATCATCGTGTCATGATTATCTTTAACGCTCTCACTTTTCATCTTCACTCTTTGAATTTTTTTCCTTTTCTTATTTCTATTTTATAGCCTAAAGAAAGCATCAGTTATCAGACACCTTTTTTACCACAATTTTTCTTTTTATATTTTGGATTCAACCTAAGCATTGGAGCATGCATCATTGAGCAGGAGCTTTGTATTTTTTTTCCCTGTACTATTCACTATTATGTGTATTTGTTCCTTTTTAATTCAACCTTTCCTTTTTTTTCGGGAATTGAAAGTTTTGAGGGAAATATTAACAGAAGAAATTAATACACCAATTGAAACATAAACTATTTTTTTAGTTACGTTTTCAAATGTATTGCTTATAAAATATTATTGACAATATATATAACAATTACTACTATAGAAAGAAGTTTTTTTTAAAATTAAAGTTGCTCAAATCCTTTTTGAGATCAAGTATTTTACAAGATAGATTGAATGAATTAGCCTTAATATCTAACGGGAGTGAAATGTTAGAATTATTCAATTACAAAACTTTGTTAGTTGATGTTGCAGCTTAAAAGATTGGAAAAATAATATAAGGATTTGATAAATTACTATATGTTTGGCCTTTTTACTCATTTTGCTTTAAGCCTCAAAATCTCTCGAATCAACCTTGGATGAATTCATTAGAAATGATTGATAAAAAGAGCTGAAGCAAAGTAAACGATGACATTATTTACTTGTAAGTAGAGCTAGTAATTCAAGAGGGTTAAGCTTATTCAGACCAAATTCCAGACCAAATTCCGGAGTACGTCGTTTCTCCGTCCGATATTCGATCGACGTGATTCCAAAGCCCACACAAAGCTTATAAAAGGTTTTACTTGTGACCCAAATTTTAGAGAAATCCAACGGTCAGATTAAGATTTGGACACCCGGATGTAAAAGTGCAGCTTTTTGGTAAAAACCATTTTCAAAATTGTCCAAATCTCATCCTAATGGTCACAAACCTGTAGAAACACTTTGGACACGTGAAATAAGATTAAAAACACCTGATAGAACATTCAAATGATGGAAAACCCCCATACATCAAAATTTGACCACCCGGGTGCCATTCCCAAAATGGACCATAAACCCCCGAAATGCACAAATCATACAAGAGTGGTCACAAATCAATCCAAATACCATGTATTTATATAAATACATATGCTAAATATTTTCACTTGGCTCAGAGCTCCTTGTGGGGCCTACGCACCCACTCTCTCTATCCAAACTGTATGTTTTCCTATAGCACACCATTTGCAATGCAACCACTTTGCATTTGCTTATAAAATCACATATATATCAAAATAAAGATCTGCTTGTAATAGAAACTTGGTCTACTAAGTAAATCCATCAAAACCACACACCATAACCAAGTTTCCTAGCCATAAGTCTGCAAACAGACAAAAATTCATACACAAGCACACAATCCACACATATTCACACACACACATAATCATATCCTATAGGCACCCTAATCTTAAATACATTACAATATATTTGCTCAAAAGAAAGGGGTTGCAGTTCTTTACAAATCACAAGCAAACCCCTAGCTTTACTCCTTTCCCCGTCCACCACTGGATCCTTCGCCTGGACCTAGAATATTGAAAAGAAAGGGGTGAGACAACCACAGTCTCAGTAACAGCGAAATTTACATTGATTATTATAAAGTAAGCCATAATCAAATAAACGAATAATAAATTCAACATAGTATATAATTTAACCATTTAAAATGCATGAATGCATGACTTAGGCCGGTATGGCCTTTCATGACCAACAGAATGCCCCCTGGCACTCTTTAACTCGCAGGTAAACCTTATACCTACTTGTACCTTCAAAGGCACAAAACATAATCTAAGGCATGATCTAATCCACCGAACCGCCTATGCCCCTTCGACGTGAATCCTGAGCAGTCAAAGCTAACTCCCTCCCAGAGCCAGCCCGACTTACTCTCCATGTGAGGGCTACCTTGGCCTAGGCACTCAACCTCACACTTCATATGTCGGATTCCCTCCCCCATTGAGAGGTGTCGAACACTCAATACACTAACCACTTTAGTGCACTGAGCCCACAATACGTAAGACAACACTGAGTACTGACAGTGTGCCATAGAATATCAAAAATCCATACCTTCTCATTGGTGAACTCCCACCGAGATCATGCCTTTTACTCTTGTCTACCTTTCCTGAGTATTGACCATTCAACACTCTAAAGTAGTATAATATTTATAAATCTCATTTCCATAAAAACATTGTTATTAAACAATTAGAAAACATATTTGCACTATAATCAAAGTAGTACCCCATAACCCCTTATAAAGCACATTTAATCTTTTAAAACATGTAATGCATGATAACTAGTAATATTTATTCAAAAATAGCTAAAATAAAGTAATAAGAAATATAAATTCCCCTGTTACCTCAACCCTTTGGTACTAAAAGGGTTCCCCTTGTACAAAATAGGGCTCGGCTTGTTCCTTACTTTTCAATAAGTTCCACCAACAATTTTCTACAACATATAAGTGATCCACATCACTTATCATGACAAATAGCATTAATGAAGACTATAACTTATACCACACAACTTAGGTTAATGAGTCATAATCCACCCTAATGGTCCATATATTAAACCAACCATTCACATAGTATCACTTAACCACCAAAACCATTTATTAGCCATCACTAGGCTAATTTTCAATTTATATAATTTTTAATCAATTAAAAACCTTTACTTAGTGCCACCAACTTTCACCATTAGCCCTTATAATGAAAACCAAACCTTAATTTAAATCTTATTGGGCTCAAATAGCAAAATTATAACTAAATCAATAGGCTTAAACCATTGAGGAGCAAAAACTCAATTTCTCAAGGTTTATTTTGTGCCCAAAACACCTCTTTTCATCCAATTATCCAATCAAAATATTAGATCACTATATAGAAACTCAAAACATGCTCCCTAGGATCCAAAGAAACAAAAGCTTACAAGAATAAAGCCTTTAAGATCAAAATCCCAAAATTTCCTCTTTCAAAAATTGAAGAAAATCAAGAGAAAGAGAAGAGGATTGAAGTAGGAAGTTTACCTATCGTGTAGCCGAGCTCGCAACGGTCGCAAAGACTCCTAGATCCGAGCCTAACTCCCTCTCTTTCTCCTTTCTTCTTCCTCTCTCTCTCTCTCTCACTCTCCCGTTTGTGCGTTTCCTTCCCTTGTTCATTTTCTGCGTTTTCTGCATCTGTTTGCTCTTTAAAATGCTGGTCAAAAAGTTTGGGAAAAATTACAAGAAAGGGCCCAACATTTTTTATTATTGCACAAAAGCCCGGGTCAACTTTGGTAATTTTTCCCATAGTTAAAAATCAAATAAAACCAAACTTTTGCTTAGTAAAATTCAAACTCTAGACCTCTATTAAATTATTCTAAATTTTAATTTAATTATAGATATTTTATTTTATTTTTATTTATTTTTTTTAAATAAATTTGAGTCTTAAAATTTTTAGGATGTTACATTTTATTTTTTAAAATAACTATAATAATACACTCAAATATATAGTATTTTAGTATAAAATGACATAAAATTTTAAAAAGTAATTAATATTTATTATATTTTTAAAAAAATTATTTTGTTTATTCGGGTCAAGCACGAACCCAATTGAACTTGACCTAAATTTTTTCAAGCCTATTTGAGCTTACCTGAATAAATTCAAACATTAAAAAATTAATATTTTTTAGATTTAGTTTTAAATTTTTTAGGTGAGTTTGAATTAGCTTGTTGGGCTTGATTTAAATTATCAACTTTACTTGTAAGAAGGAGAGCTGAGAAAAGTGGGCTATGTCATCTCAAATAGACTGGCTTGATGTTTTTGTGTTGGGATGGGATCGTAATTCTCTCATGGCGAGAACACATCCTCGTCCCTCCTACCCTCATAATGTGGAGGATGAGGTTCTCCCATGGTTTGTGCTTAGTAATCCTTTTATTTTACATGCCTCGCCCTGACAGCTCAGAAGAAGACCTTGATGAACTGCGACCTTGGTCACCATTTTTGTTCACGAGTTAAGGAAGCTATAAAGAATGCTTAGCCAGATTATTTTATATATATATTTTACAATATTTTGAGTTCTAATTTTTTAGCACTAACTATATGTTGGTCTTGCGCGTCACATAAAGTTTGAAGTCAATTATACAGTTTATAATTTATAATTAGTGCAATATTTTAAGACTTGTATATTTTGCATTGAACACTAAAGAAATTAAACAATGACATCATTAGTATTAATTTCTAGGGTAAACTACATTCTCGGATTTATTTATAAGCGGCTTTACGTGGGTTGATATTGTATGCATCAGGCATGTAGATAAATAATCCCATAAACTTATGACGAAAATAATGGCGTGCTTGGCATGCGAAAGACCAAACGGTCTTAACTGTTGATTGTTGAATGACCAGGCTCCCACCAAGACGGAACTGTGCCTGAAGTTCTTTACTATAGTTTTCGATGATGCTAAAATGCAATCTAAATATAAATTGAATAGAAAAGACTTATATTGAATAAAAGTAACGCGGGTTATTGCCAGCTATACAAAGCTAAGGGGAAGGCCACGAATTAAATGTATGAAAAAATCATAATAAAATCTCATCCAAATATATCATTAACAATCAAATTTCTTGAAATATTATATATCCTCTAAAATTTTTAGATAACTTTATGACATTAACAGGGTTAAGGATCATTTTTACCTCTAAATTATATGCAAAACGTCACAAATTGTCCTAGATTCAATCATGAGTTACTTTTAACCCTCAACTTTAAAGATTTTCTTTACAATTAACTTGCCGTTTCTCATAATTAGTGCACTCACATTATATTTTTTTAATATTTTTGTTATAAAATATTTGAGTTGAGAGGAAAAATAACTATTTGAATAGAAGTTGAAAGGTAAAAAATGACTCTTAAATTAATAAAAATATTAAAAAAATATTGAGACCCACTAATGACTAATAAATATTAAGTATTTTTAACGTCAGAGTGATAACGGAGGGAATTTTAAAATTGATGGACAAATTAAAATTGACTCATAATTGAATTTAAAGAGTATTTATGACTTTTTATATATAATTAAGAGATGAAAATGATCTTTAAACCTAAACAATAATACATTAAATCTCTTAAATAATTTTGCTTTAGGCTCCAAAATCACTTCACACACGGCTTTCCCTCAATGCAAATAGGTTAATTGATGGAAGGTGAAATGACTTTGGAAGATGCGGCGGAGATTAAGAATAATGATGAGTTCCTAACAAGTATTCTGCTGTTGGACATTTTTATGATGATTGCTCATTACTAGCTCCCCGTGACTCATGGAGATTTTTTTTTAAATAAAGATAAACATAAAAAATAAAAAAATATCTTATAAATAAAAATAAAAATATTTTTCTCTTTATCTTATAAATAAGATTAAAAGAGTAGTATGTTATCTCTACCTCCCCTACTTGTTTTTAACAAGATAATATTACACATGCTCTTAAAACGTTCATGTGATTTGACTTTATTTTCATTTTATATTTAATGAAAAAAATTAATAAATTATTATTAACAAATTTGTCAAGTATTACAATAAAAATTCTAAGATATATTAAATGCGACGTGTTTGATATCTATCATAAAATCATTTATCCAAGAGCTAAAAGGTCATGTTTGATCTCATTATTGTGTTGATATATTTATTTATAATGCTTATCAATTGAAAGAATTAAATAGTAAATTTAATAAGTAAGTAATAACATTTCTTAAATTGAATGAAACTTTAAATTCTAATAAAACATTCAAATCATTCAATGCTTGTGGAGAAGATAAAATTTTTATCAATTTAATGATAATTTTATTGAGTAAGAAATTGCTAAAAAGCTTACACAACATAATAATTAATGATTTTTATTTTAAGAAAAATCAATGAGTAAAACTTAAAAAATGAAATATATATTTATTTTCATTGTATATTTATAAAATTGATATAAATACATATGTTAAAATTTTTTATGTCATGTTAATGAGAGATATATATATATATATATATATATAAAACTTTTCTTTCATTATTATCTCTCCTTTATCATCTCGAACTCCTTTAATAAAATTTTTTAGTTCCACTCTTGTTTAGACCGTGTCCACCTTTTTTTTTTTTTTTTTGTTGTTGTTGTGCCACTTTTAGGCTCTACTCACTTTTAGGTTCAAACATTTCCTAAACAAATTATTGAAATTATATGTATTCGTTTTTTATTTTAAAAACATCAAGGAAAGATTAGTAAATTAGCTTCCCACGTTTTTTCTCTTAAAATGATGAATCCTATATATCATACTCGGATAACACATCAATCCCTAAAATTACATTCATGGGTCCTCATAATTTTGAAAATTAAAAACTCTTGGTTCACAAGGAGTACGGTATAGCTAATTAGGATTGATGTGAATTCTGACAAACAGGTTGACCGATGATTCAGTATAAGTTAGCCCCTCAAATAGAATTGAGCCCATCATACTATCCTCACATAAATTAAATGGGAACTATAATGTCGCTCTAGTGACGGCTGGGCTTCAATTAATTAGTGACAACCAAAAATTGTTGGTTGCACTTAAACTGAATTAACATCATTAGCTTTGAAAGCAAAAGGCACGAGCACGCAAGAAAGCAATCGAGAATGGCAACGTGCTGAAGTAAAACCCAGTGCCGAAATGCTGGTCGGTGGAGTTATTAATATGTGTATACAAACAAGTACGCACAGACATGATGCTCGGAAACTAGTACGGAATCATGAGAAGTGCAAGTCGATGGATAAGATTTACCAGATATTGTTTCTATATGATCCCCAGCAAGTGCGTTCTTGTGTTTGGACTCCCAAGACAATATCAGAAACACGCGGTCCCCAAAGGATCTGCATCAACCTCAGGTACATGTAGGCAGACAGGCATGCACTAATATGCACAAGTCAACATGTAAGTAACAACCAGTGGCAATGCATCTAGCTATTCATTAACTAGAAATAGCTTCCGGCGCCATCTGGCTGTATATATATACATTTTAACGATCGAGGAGTGACCACCATACTTCCCTTATTCTCTCATGGCTAACGAATCACTCTGTTTGGTCTTTCCCACACTAGTTCTGCTCATTCTCTCATCACCATTGTCGTCGGCTTCTTCGTCGGCTTCTTCTTCTGCAGTTACAGTGTCCATTGATGGCCGAGGAGATTACACCACAATCGGCCAAGCCATTGCAGAAGCTCCTTCCAACAGCGACGCAAAATACACCATCCTCGTTCGACCTGGAATCTACGAGGAGCGTCTCCACATTCCCCGCGACAAAACCAACATACTTCTCATCGGCAACGGTCGCCATGATACTGTCATTCTCGGACACCACAATGGTGGCATGCTGTCTCAAACAGCCACAGTAGGTACGTTTAATTACTCAAATAAGGCCATCCATCTATCATCTAGCATCCAATATAATATTACTTGTCTCGAGTTCTTGTCAACTTCTCAGCAATTCAAAGAGCAGGCTTCGTGGGCCAGGGAATAGCCTTTGTCAACTCAGCTGGGCCGAAAGCGGGCCCATGCCTAGCTCTCCTGAACACGGCGGACAGGTCCGTGTTGCACAACTGCTCCATCGAGGGCTTCCAGGACACCTTGTGGGCCTCATCAGGCCGTCAATTTTACCGGGAATGCGACATCTACGGCTCCGTCGACTTCGTCATGGGAAACACCGCCGCCGTCTTCCAGAACTGCGTGCTCTACACCCGCCTCGCCGGCTTCTCCGTCTTCACTGCGCAGTCTCGTGACGACCCCCTGGAACGCACCGGTTTCGTTTTCCAGTACTGTCGTTTCACGGCGTCTACAGAGGACTCCGGGAAGCAGTTATCCGGTGCGGGCAGGGCAATTTTAGGACGGCCGTGGAGGGCGTATTCGAGGGTGGTGATCATGCGGGCGTACATAGATGATATAGTGAGTCCGATGGGGTGGGGAGAGATGGAGGGGACGCCCACCGATAAGGCGAGTTACATAGAGTTCGAGAATGAAGGGTCTCGATCGAGCACACGTGGCAGAGTGAGGTGGGTTGGTGTGGTGGAGGTGCCGGATGCGGATCAGGTGAGGGAATTCACTGTGTCCAGGTTCATAAAAGGTGACGCTTGGATTCCTCAAACTGGGGTTCCATACATTGGAGGATTATAATAATTATTTTTCTTTTTGTTAGATTAATATCTACATTAAACATTTGCTTTGGGTGATCAAGAAGTACGGATTCCGTATTTGAAGGGGAAGCAAATTAAAAAGCAGGAATCTCAAAGTATAATTAACGTAGTGCATCTGGGCGTCTTTTCTCGTAAAATATAATATATCCTTTTCTGCTGTGTGTGCGAAAGGCATTTCTGCATTCATAAAGTTTCGACGAATATATTCCCAGACTACTACTTACTGCGATATTAATACATGTATAATATAGTAATTAACCTGAGATTGTAATCTCATAATTCAGAACAAAATTTTTAAAAAGAGTACAATTAGATTCACCTTTCTATATTTATGTCCTTTTTTCCTAGGGGAGGAGGACCAATCCTTTGATAATTTATCATGGTATAACTTCTGAAGATAATATGAGTTTAGTTTACTTATTTTTTCGATAATGTGACTTAGAAATGCAGCCTAATTATTTAAGTTTAGAGTTAAAAAAGAATTAGTAGGTCAGCCTAAACTATATAAATATACGTACTCCCCTGAACTATAATATAATGCATATTTTAAAAACTTTACTTGATTCAAAATATAGAGTGTTGAATAATTTTTATATTTATTTTTTAAATTATATCTTTACTTCATTTATTACTTTTTTTTTTTAAAATTATGTATTAAAATTTTAATTATTATTATCACGGTTTTTATATATGATATTTAATTAGAGTATAAATAAAATATGTGAACATTTTTTAAAATTTAAGATTTTAAATAATATTATTCAAAAATCATGAATTAATTAAATATAACTTATAATATGAAAGGAGAGTATAAAGAGCGTGACGTTAATTAAGAAGTAACAGGTATATACGTACTATAACATGTGCACATGCATACCTATATGAAACACGTTATATCTTGCAATATAAGGTTAAAGCGATTGAGTGAGTTAATTAAGAATATTAGTTCCAAACTGTTTTCACCAGTAAGCAATTAATCATTACTCATACGGTGCCGAACAGGTTCAAGTTTCACGCAGCCCAGGATTTGTCCATAATTACGTTCAATAATTTCAAGTGGCAGAAGAAAAGAGGAACCTATCCCGTCAAGCTTCTTCAGAAAATATAGTAATTTGTCTTCATTAGCCGTTTCGGGGGCATTAAGATGTGAACGCTGAAATAGTCATGCACTCCTCCGATTTATATATTGATGACTTTTTAAAAGTATAAATATAATATAATTCATTTTATAAATTATTAATTGATAAATTATTTTATTTTAAATTAAAATTTTTAAATTGTCCTTAAAAAGTAAAAGAAAGAAAGACAAGAAAAATAATATTACATTATTCATTTACTTTTTATTTTTTATTTAAAGGTTGTATTTAAAATTTTACTTATTTTTATTCATTATACTTTTGTTATATTGATATTGATAAAAATAATTTATAAATAAATTAGGGTATATTTAGGGATGAGCATTCAGTCGGTTCGGTTTTAAATTTTTTAAAACTGATTGACCGAATTATATAAAAAAAATTTAGATCAAATCTAATTGAAATACATAACTGAATCAAATTAAAATCGAACTGAATTTAATAGTTTGATTCAATCGGTCTATTCGATTCATGGGCTTTTAATTTTTTCCCTTAATGTTTTAGGTTCAACAAAAACATAAAAATCTTATACAATAGTTTATAAAAAAATTAACAAGACTTAGTACTATTACACTAAAAAATAAATTATAAAAATAAAAAGATTAAAACATCACATCACATACACACAAAAAAATATCATTACAAGTAATAGGAAGATGTTTCTTACTTACCTAAATGAGAATTCATTCACATTTTTAAAAATATAAAAAAAAATATAAAAAATTTAATCAGTTCAATTTATTTAATTTTAAAAATTTTAAATCAAATCTAACTGATCAATTAAAATTTTTTAAAAAAATTAAATTAAATAAATCTAGTTAAATAAATAAAATTTAATTTGATTTAATTTTTAGTTTCAAGTTTGTTTCGCTCATTCCAAGTATCGTTTTGTATGACCGTTTTTCCGTGCCGCCGTTGATGTAACGCAAGTGTCGTTTTCGAGTTAATCAGAATAAAGCAAATATAAGGACCAAGCCACCAAGGTAAGGTGGTTGAGTCACATCGAGGAAGAGCGTGGAGTCTTTGGAAAATTCTGGGCCCACTGGAAATTAATCCAACTTCAAATTTTGTTCAAGCTGGGAAGGTAATGTTGTCCTTATTTGTGTAGGTTTTCTCTTACAATGGCATGCGTTCCATCAATAACTGAATGTTCGACGTCCAGCTTATTTGAATTAAATAAAAACCACACCTAGAATTTTAATCCAATATATTCTATATATTTCAACCTAATAGATGTTCTGACTGTTCAGCAAACTACAATGTTCAGAGAACTTGTTTCCCTTTTCCTCAAAGCGTTGTCATCTGCTAAATACACTCAATGATAAGCTCTATGAATGATTGCCATTTTTTTTGAGTTGCTACTTGTTTGAACAATTTTTTTTTTCAAATTCATATTCTATGCAGATGGGATTTTTTTAATTTGATATGTAAAATAAAATGAAAAAAAAACTAGAAAAATGTTTTAAACTATCATTATACTAGTCATTACTTAAAAAAATTAAAATATATAAAATTCAACTATTAAATAACAATCAAAGTAATATAATTAATATTAAACATTTAAAATAATGTTTCTTTCCTTGCATCAAATAAAACAAGCTCTCTAAATTATGCCTGGAAAAGTATAATTTAAATAATTATGGGAGAGTTACATATTCCAATTAGATCCGACAAATGCTTGAACCAATTCAATTACAGTCCTATAAAAAACATCAAAAAATTTAAAAGAGGTACTCAAATTTAATATCTAACCATACCTCAAATAGGTGGTCGATATCTGTGAGTAATAAAAAACATAGCATATATGTATTTAAAAAGTCTAGTTAAATGAATATTTAATATATGAATATATTTATTTATTTATAAATAATCAAGTTCACTTGTATTTCATAGAGGAACAAAATTTATCATGTGATTTTTCTCAAACAAAGATTGGTATGCTAATTTTTAAAATCATGCACGTTTTTAGGTGCACTCTTGTGTGGTCGTTGAGTTTGTCATTTTCATACATCCGGGAGTGTCATATCATGTGGTGGTTACATTAATGATGTTAGCAACTTATAATTAACGCACTCTTAATTAGTCAAGGGGATTGGCATTGTTCGTTGAATAATCACTTTCAAAAGATGCCTTAGCCTTTCAAATGGAACTCTCTCTGTCGCTCTCTAGCACAGCAGTATTAAGTGTGCCCGATAACTTTGAAGTATAATTAATTAGCTAGCCGAGGAATATATAATGTTCCACAAAATATGCAAACAGTGCATAATTATTTTTTTAATAAAAAAGTGCTCCCAAAGTGGATAAAATTTGGTAAAGCTATTTTTAAAGCAATTAAAATTCTTGAGAAATAATATACCAATAGGTGTTAGTTATAGTGAAAAGAGCCATCACCGTTTAAACATAAAATTTCAAGTTTAAGTTCATGTGAATGCAAAAGACGCCGATTAGTTGGTTCAATTGTAGAATTCATCAATTTGTGCGATCTTAAGAAATTCATTTAGCAGGCAATTGGTTCAGTTGAATGTACAACTTGATAAATCAATAAATGTATAATTCATTTATAATTTTTGGGTTTGCTAGGGTATTTTTATAGTTGGCATTCGTGGTTAAGAAATTTGAACATCGTTTGAGGGTTTGTTTTCTTGCCAACGACGCTCTCTATACACACTCTCTAAGAATAAAAAACCCCAAGAATATTTTAATTTATACAACACATACAATCCATTCAAGTTAATTTTGACTTGAATTATACAGCTGAACCAACCGGCTGGGAATGAAAAGAGTGTGAAAAATGAAGTTTGGCTCTCTTGACCATCAACTGCGTACTAACCACTCATCCACGTCTACCTACTAGCTAGCGAGATACATGTAATCAAAAAAGACTCTTAACAATTTTGTCAGAGTGAATTATCTATCTGGTTCCATTTCTCACTGTTTGCAACGTACCAAACAGCCACTTTTCTAAAGTTAGTGGCCAATTAATGCCTCACCATACACCATGACGATAAATCCCAATTCCTTGCACTATCCACCTTCCATGGCTCTCGGGCTACGTTTTTCCTTTCTCAGCTTCATCATTTTGTTTATAGAAAAAGAGCGAATGATGACAAAACTTTAACTCACCATCACTTCCACTTCTCACATTCCATACACACCACGTTCAAAGCCAGAGATCAGACTAGCTAGATATATACGTAGGTGGCCATATAATTAATCAACAACACTTGGATATAGCAAAATCACTGTGGTGATTGATCTCGTCCAATGGCTAGCTTCATGATAACCTCTATCCTGCGTTTGATGTTTTTTGTACAACTTTCTTATTCTTCTTCTTCTTCGTCTCATCATCATGGACGCGTAATAGTGGTGTCAAAGGATGGGGATGGAGATTACGCGAGTATAAGTGAAGCAATAGCACGAGCTCCGAGGCTGAGTGGAAAGAGAATCAGAATAGAGATCAAAGCTGGAATCTACGAGGAATATCTCAGAATCCCCTCCGACAAGACCAACATCGTCCTCGTCGGAAGCGGCACCCAAATTACAAGGATTACTGGCAATCGAACCACAGCCACCGATCAAAGTGCCACACTAGGTATATATATATATATGCACGCGCACACATTTATATGTCTGTAACATAATCTCTATATACATGTTGCCAGCCCTAGCTCTCTGAGGATCGAGATATTTTATAAGTAAAAATGAATTCTACTGTATTGTGAGTTGTAAAGTTTACTCTATTTTAATTTTCATCAGAATGCTAGCACAGTACAGTAGTACCTCTCATATGATTATTAATGGATCGATTTTATTGATCATGCATGTATTGGAAAAAATCGAAGTGCGCTTTTGTCTCCATGCATGCTTGTGCCCCACCATCATAATAATGATCATATATTTCAAAATAAGAACGTGTCAGCGAATAATGAAGCCAGAATTAGGAAATCTATCCTCAGCCTAAGAATTTCATTGTAGAAGTCACTTATATTCAATATTTAATATGATAGGAAAATGGCAATACTCCATATGTTGGAGGTCCTTTAATTATTTACTTATTTGAAAGTTATTGAAATTGTACTGAGTCACTTACACTTGTTCATCCTAAATCCAAATCCGTTAGATTGTTCACTCAAAAGGGAAAAAGCCAAAAAATGATGCTATTAATTAATTACTTGTGCATTTCCTTGAGATTATTTGTTAGCGTTCAAAAGCACTAATAACCTGTGGAAATTTTTTTTTTCCAATAGTTACATTTTAAACTTACACTAGGTAAAATATTAACATGACATTTAGAGAAGCTTCCCTGAATTCTATTTTCATACAATTTGCTGTCCAACAATTTTATTTTCATATTGTTGCTTTCCTCTTTACCAAAATGACCTGATGGAATGCAATCGAATCCTGATGGAATTAACTCGGCCATTTTTACGAACCAAAAAATAACCATTTAAGTAATCGACGTTGTTAACGAAAACTGATCTGATAATCAAGCTTGTTTTGTCAGCGATCTATGGATCAGGGTTCGTGGCCGAACACCTAGGATTTGTGAACACCGCAGGGAGCGATGCCGGCCCCGGAGTGGCCGTATTCAACCAGGCCGATCACAGCGCCTTTTACAGATGCTCCATCGAAGGCTTCCAAGACACCCTGTGGGCCGTCTCTGGCCGCCAATTCTACCGCGATTGCGACATCTACGGCACCGTCGACTTCATCATGGGCGACGCCGCCGCTCTCTTCCAGAACTGCAACCTCTTCGCCAGGCCTAGGGAGTTCGTCACCTTCACCGCCCAGTCTCGCTCCTCCGACAGTGAAGCTACCGGCTTCGTCTTCCAGTCCTGCCATTTCACCATATCCCCGAAGGACGCAGATCAGAAGTCGAGGGTGGTCAGAGCGACGTTAGGGAGGCCGTGGAGGGCGTATTCGAGGGTGGTGATAATGGAATCGTACATCGATTCACTGATTGATCCGAAAGGGTGGGAGATTATGTATGGCACGGCGCGTACGGACAGGTTGAGCTACATAGAGTATAAGAATAAAGGGCCGGGGGCGAGGACTGGTGATAGAGTGAAGTGGCCTGGGGTTAGGGTTGCGGCTGATCCGATGGAAGTTGAAGGGTTCGCTGCTTCTGCGTTTCTGGACGGCAATGCTTGGATTCCTCAACTTCGGATTCCATATCGTCCAGGTCTCTAGCGCCAAGTTGAGTTCGCATATATTTTTATTTTGTTAATTTAATTTCCCGATTATTGCGTTTGTGTGTGTTATGTGTGTTCATTGAGCAAGTGATCGAACAATTAATAAAGTGCATGGATGGATAATTGGAAATCGATTAGATGAATAATGTTCAGTTCGTCGAGTCTTTTGTTCATTGTATTTAATTAATGGTCGTGATTTAATTTTATGGCACATTTTTTGTACATTTCAATCATTTTTTATGCAATGGTGGAGTAAGAATCTTAAATTAAAAAATATAAAATAATTTAATAAAAAATAATATTTTTTTAAAAAATAATTATACTACGAGTAAAATTATAATAACATAAATAATTTTAACATATTTTTTATTTTAAAAAAAATTATATTGAATAAATTAATATAGTCTTTTATTATAAATATGCTCTTCATATCCTATTTAGATCATTAAAATATTATTTATCTAATAAACTTTTAAGCCTAAATATTTTTCCTTTAATTTAGAGGGTGCAAAATATCAAGAGTAGAGAATGCAAATTTATAAATTTTATATATCCCACTTATAATTTTTTTTTGAAGTGAGGGAGTGCATTTGCATCTCTCAAACCAATGTGGCTTAGCTACTGGGAGTGGGGCGTGTTAGTGATTCTTATTTTTAATATAAAATCATAAAGTTTTGTACATAGTATGATTTATTGGAGAGAAATATGTTAAATTCAAGTTAAAATGAAGGGTTAATTATCATTCTTTTTACTCCTTAACTTTATCTAAAAAGTCAATCAAATATGACCCTCAATGTCGTTTTCAATCACCCTACCATCTTCTTCTCATTTGTTAGCGTTAGTGGGTTCCATAATTTATTTTTTAATATTTTTTATTATATGATGTTCACTCTTTCTCCTCTTTTAATATTTTTATTATAAAATTTATTCACACTCTTTCTCCCCTTGATCTCTTTCTCTCCTAATTCTCTCTCCTTTCTAATTTTTATATGTCTCATGTCTCCCTTTGTCCTTACATACTTATCATCTTCTGCAATGTGTGATAGTAGAGCAACCCTTAGAGTAAGGATGAATTGGGCCTCTTGCTTATGGAATCTTCTTCGACACCCTTCAAGTCATCGTGGACCAACATTATGGAGGATGACAATGGTGTTGTTCTTCCCCCATAATGTGTTTGTGGCAACGATGGTGGTTTCTTTGCCACTCTTCACTGAACTAGTTCTATTTTAAACTCTAATTTGAATATATTGATAGTGTATGAGAGTATTTTTAAATATTGAAATCTTGAGATTTCATTTGTAAATTGTGAAAACTTAATAGTTCTTATTGAGTTAGACCTTGATTGCCTTGGCTTTTGATATTAATGGTGATTGGAGAAAATAGATTACACATTACATATATTTGACAACATTGCTAATATCATTTGACAGCAACAGGGGTGAATTTTTGACACTCCCCATTGCTCCGTCCAATGTTCGATTGAGGTGATCTATGTGTCTACAGAGAGCTTTTTCTAGCTCTAGCTAATGAAACTAGTTTTACAATTGAATTGTTTCTCAATTAAAAATTGGACACCTATTTCACAACTCACTCCCTTACACCACTTTAACATAATCTGGGTGTCCTAATTTTATACCAAGTGTCAAAAGCTTCAAACACAATGCAAACCATACTTAATAGACTATTTCAGACTTGTGCAATACACTACATCACTGACAATACATATAAAACATATTCTTAATGCTCAAACCCTTTGTCATAAAAATACAAGGGGTAGCCTTAAATTCATAAATCATCATATCATTTCACAATAATCACAATCTTACTAACTTTTTGCTTGTACTAGTATTTTGGCCTTATAGTAGATTTCACAATCAGTATATATACACCCTAAGGCTCAAAATACACAATATAGTTTAACAACCTCCTAGTGCAAGTAAGCTCAAAAATATGGACAACCCTGATTGGTAATATCATTTGAATTATACACATAATACTAATCAAAATGTATGAGGCTTGCAAGTGTTAGGATAGAATCTTAAGCCTCGGATTGTTTCCCTTGCTTTTAACCCAAAAAGCTAACTCCTGTAATATTGAAGAGAAAAGGGTGAGTACAACTACCTAGTAATCAAGATTCATCTAACTTATACTAATGCATGTTAATTAATTTAAATACAAGTGGCAAAGATATCATTCTCGAATCATTTAACATGTTCAATAACACCATTCACATTTTTCATTCATAGTAGCATATACTCACGTGATAATGACTTAGGAACACAATTTCACATGGATTTAAGGCTAATCACATGATTTTCATCACTAGAGTCACAATATAGACAATCATGTGCCCTTTGTATCATAATAAGCATGATCACACCTCCTTATATCTTTCTTATGCTTTTGACATGAAACCGTGGGTTATAACACATTGGGATTGTTAATGAAATTGAGACTACCCTAGCCATTCATGCGTGAAAAGCTACCCTGTTAAGGTCCCCTATCTCACTTGTGGTTCACGGTTTCTCCCAACTCTTACACTATAGGGGTGTCATTTTCCTTAAACTAGTTTCCTTATATAACAAGTGAAAAATTAATTAGGTTTGAATCCTTCATTGAACAAGTGAAACGATATATATAAATAAATCCAAGCAAACCATCAAGCTCCAATGGTAGCCTTACTATGTGAATTTCAATTCTCTACTCATTTTTTTAGGCGAACTCCTACCTTTTATGATCATAAGATACATAATAATGTAACATTTCAGAACATGTGATTACTCAAAATACAAGCATGTATAATGCCATTATTATGATCTACTCATACATGAACATCACATAGACACGTATAACTAGTCAAGTATAAATTAATAAATTAATTAACACACAAAAGCACAATAAAGAATTCTTTTAGTTACCTCAAACTTTTAAGAGGTCAAAAATTTACCCCTTAGATTCACATTTTCAAAGTTTCACAAAACTTGAATGATGCTAAATATGCTTACTTTACTTTTAACCACAATATAGATCATCAGCATCTCTTTTTTGGATAATTTTCAATATCTATCACTACACTTCTAAAACTCTCAATAGAATAATCTCTTCTTTTTAGACCTATCCATTAGGTTTATTAACTCCTATTATATCACAACAATTTCATTGAGCTCCTAAACAACCATTAATAACATTTTTAACTCCCATCCACCACATTAATGGTGGATTTTCTAGCATTAATGGCTATCAAATACCGAAAATACATTCTTTACTCTTCCTAAGGTTTAAGGTACTTAAACAACTCCTATTAACCCTATTTAAGTTAATAAGTTTAGACCTATAGCCTCTATAAATTGAAAAATATCTTTTTCAACCAAGCCCTAACTCCCAACATCAAAAAAATGCAAGAGAGAAGAGAGATTTAAGCTTAATGAACTTACCTCTAGTGTTTAGAAGTTTCAAAATACTTCTAATGCTTTCAAACTCTAAGCCCTAGTAGAGTTCCTTATGTTCCCTTCATTCACAATTTTGTTTCTCTCCTTTTTTTCCATCAGTTTCATGTTCTTATTTTTGTAGAAAACATATTGTGTGTTGCGATGCCTATCCCTATACACTGCAACATGTGGTACAAAGAGGGTGCTCTTACCTTTTGGTGGCTCATGCACCACGGCATATCATGTATGCACTGCAGCATGTGACATAAAGCCATTTCTCTCTGTCTTTATCACTTTTTCATGCCCCAACAACCTGACCTTATTTTGAACTCAATCTTAAGGCTGAAATCACAACTTATAGCACCCACTATCCCTTTGCAACCATACACCACACAAATTTACTTAACTAACTTCATTTATTCAACTAATTAGAGATTAAATTCTTTAGGATGTTATAGTCAGCCTCTATAAGCCACTCAAGAATAATCACTCTAACAACTATGGGCTCCAACACTGAGTTTTGTGAAACTTACCTGCTCACCCTTACTCTTCAAGTAAAAAACAAAGTGTTCTCGCATAAGAGCTATATTAGTATATATATTGAGAGTGGAAGGCAACAAATGAGTAACTTAGAAAAAAAATAAAGATAAGATTATTAGTTGGGTTGTTCTATGTTAAAGGAGGCATATGATAGGATGAAGCTAAATAAGTCAATTGGTTCTTCATTTTTTAGGAAACTTATGATGCGAGCTTAAGACGGTGAAATCACAGCTGTTGTTGACACTGATGAGTGTCACATCTTAAGTTTTAATTTCGTGATTAATTAAACCTAATTAAAGTAATTAAGTAAATTAAAGTGGTGTGTGACCATAGAGGTCTAATAATCATGTTTGATGCTATTTCAGCCCTAGTTGTGAGTCTGATATTGAGGCAGACCACCTAGGTATCAAAAAGAAAAGAAAAGGAAGAGTTGAAATTGTTGTGCCACACATCGCAGCACGTAGATCGTCCATCGTGGCGCATAGCCATCTCTGAGTGAGGGAGGACCTCTCTGTACCATGCATCACGGTGCATGGCCATTTTTTACACTTTATCAAACACAAAATAAGACAAAAAAAGAAAGAAAAGAAAGGAGAAAAAGAAGAGGCGTGCCACAGCTCTGCTAATGTTTATTTAGGGATTACTTTGAGAGTATTTTGAGGGCTACAAACACCTAAGGTAAGTATCATATTCATTAATCTCCCCTTTTCTCTCACATTTATAAGTTTATGATTAGGGTTTGATAGTAAAAGTGGGATTTTGGTCCATAGAGGTTATGAGTTTGAATTTGTTGACTCAAATAAAGTTAATGAGAGTATATTATAGTATTTAAACCTAGATATAATAAGTTTTGGTGTCTTAGGTTGTTGGACACCATAAATACCTAAAAATCTCATTTATTATGGGTGGTTGAAAGTTTGTGATGCCGTTAATGAGAATTTAATGGCTTATTAATGCTATTGAGGGCTAAAGGTAATTATTAAATCTAATGGTTAAGTTCCACCTCTTGTAAAGTGAAGGTTGGGCAATTTAGAAGTAGAGATTGAGGGTTCAAATGTTTAAGTTTGTTATGTTGATGAAATTTAACTTGGTTAATTGTAGTTTTAGTTCTTGGTCACCTATTGGAGTAAAAATTCAAACTTAGAAGCTAATTGATTGAAGAGTAAACCTTTAACCTCTTAAATATTTGAGGTAACCGAAGAAAAACTTTACTTTCAGTAGTTGTATGTTAATTGATTGTTAAGTATGAATAGTGAATGTTACATGCATGAGATTGATTTTTATGTAAAACTATATATATATATATATATATTATTGAGTGCATAAAAATGTTATTTTTGACTTGAAAGTACACTATGTAAAGTCAAGAGATTTTTAACTATGAATGTTGTTGTTGTTGAAAGATGTATGTGATGAGGTATAGAGATAGTTTTTTGTTAATGAAAAATGAATTTTTAAGAAAAGGTGAAAATACACACTTGGGTAGTGCAAGGTCATGAGCCCAACGTGGTTGTAATAATAGTAAATGAAAGTAAAAAAAAGTAAACTCAATTGAGAAATGATTATGGCATGATCAGTAGCGGGAGTTCACATAGAAATTTGGGAGTAGAGAAAATTCATATGATAATTAAGCTGTCCTTCGGTACACAGAGGCTCTAGCCTTGTCCTACTATTTGTCAAGGGACTATCTAACAGTTTGTTGAGGGATTAGAACCTAGCTATCTCCACCAATTCAATGAGGAGAATAGCCTAGGGTATAAGACATCCCAGGGATTCGAGAATGGGGGAAGCCGTGGTCCGAGAGTGAGTCCTGTGATCTTTGGCCGGGTCACATCTCGTGATTGGTGAGCTTGGACAGTCCAATCACACGGACGAAGCCCTAATCAGTGTTATAGTCCACGATTTTAGTCTGAGAAAATAAAAAGGATATAAGGTTAGATGATCATTGCCTAAGTAAATATATGACGTGTTACACGGGCTAAGTGGTGGCAGGTCACAAGAGTATGGATCATGTCATATATTTGAGAATATGGTGACAATGCACCTAGTTATGTGAGTAAAGAAGCTACAAAGTGATAAATGATAAATAATAATATATGTGGACTTGCGTTACATATTTGATCTCCTTGTACATGTTTTTGTTTTATAATTGATATATAACTGCATAGGGTAGGGTTAATCTTAGTTATTGAGTGGCTAGACTCACTCCTCTTATTTAATACTTTTCATGTTCTAGCTCTGGTGTTGAGAGGGAGAAGACTACAGAGGCAGGGAATTGGCATATTCTTACTGTATACCTCTAGGTTAGTTTTAATTGTGTAATAGTATATAGCTTGCCAATTCTAGAATGCATATTACCTTACTTGCACTATTTTGGTTGTTGAAAATATTAGAATTATATTTTGAGCCCTTAACCTTTGTGTATGTTGTCATATATATGTTTATAGGGCTAAAATACTAGTGCAAGTTTAGAAATAAAGTTTTGAGCATGTTTTGAATGATTTAAGTTAAATGCAATGTTAAATTACCTCCCCCTTTGCTTATAATGTTTATAATGGGGTTGAGGAGTGAATTTTAGTTATAATGATGTTTTAGTACTTGTGATGTACTGTACTGATAGTTTTAAGTCCATTAGACATGGTTCAGGTGTTAGGAAAAGCTTTTGGCACTTGTTAAGGGTTTTGGACACTCATTTTGTGTAAAAGTATTGAAAAGTGGTTAAATTGTGTTTGGGTGTCCAACTTCCTAATGTGACTTGTTTTGGAAGTGAAACCAATGCTATTATCTAGTTTATTTAAAGAGCTTTCTGTAGACACTTGATCACATCATTCGGATGTTAGACGGAGAATCGAGGCTAGTTGGAAGTTCCCTTGATTCTGTTATCAAATGACAGCAAAAATAATGAAATTTCGTGCAACACGCCACGGTGCATGGCGCCTGAGCTACGGCGCATGGCACAGAGTGCATCTTCCATGGCGCATTGCTCTATATTTCAATACATAATTTGTTTTCAATCGTTTTTGACTTCTTTCACTTCTCTGAGGTATCACATGCTTCCGAAACTTATTTTTACTTTGATATGAAAGGTTTTAATCGATTTTTAACTGTTTTTATTTAAAAAATTAGGATACTTTTCTTTTGAATTAAAACTTGGTAATCACTCTTTAGAACTAATCCCTCAATTACCATAAGCTTTATTTATTAAGTGTATTTAGTGGAGTGAGAACATTACAATTAGAGTCCTAGCCACTGCCATCAAGAGGTATACCACTCTCAAGCAACCTTTGAAATCCTCCTCGTTAGCCACAATTACTTTTGTCATGGAAGTGGAGTTATTGCACCCTTCGTAGTTGAGGATGAGGATGAGGATGAAGACAAGAGAGAAAAGGAGGAGGAAGAGAGAGAAAGTAGAGGAGAGAGAAGTTTTTTATTATAAACAATATAAAAAATATTTGATGGGATCTACTATTGAATATTTTATAATAAAAATATTAAAAACTTTAAATATGAGACTTATGGGTAAATAACATCAAGGGCATGGATAGCCAAATTCCTAAAGTTAAGGGATAGAATGACCTCACAATGGAATTTAATGTGCCTAGTAACCCTTCAGGTAAAATTTAAAGGCAAAGATGACTATTAACCCATAAATTAAATAGTATATAATATGGTAGTAAATACTCCCTTCAATTCAGTTTGTAAGATACTTCCTCCATCCCTATATATAAAGTGTTTTTAACCAAATTTTGCATACCAATAAAATTTTTTATTTAGTAGGACTCATATAAAAACACAATAATTTTTTAATTTTACCCCTAATAATATCATAATTAATATTATGATAGTAGTAAGAAAAACATACAATTAATAATCTATTTCTTTTTTCAAGACAAGGGTAAAATTATCTAGTTACTCAAAAATATCATTGCCACTTATATTTAAGGATAAAATAAACTTCTAAAAAATACTTTATATATAAGGACAAAGGAAATACCTTCTAAAAGTAATTTTAATTTAAAATATTTTATATTTTAATAATTAAACTACTTTTTTAATTTTATCCTTTATTGATTAACACGAATGTATTTAATATAATTATATTATAATTTAAAATTAAAAATAAAAATAAAAACATATCTTATTTTTTATAATATTATAAAAATTAATTTTATTTAAAATGATTTAAAAATGTTATATAATAAAAACAAGAGAAGGAATTAAAAGATTTATATAATTATTTTTATTTATTTGTTTCTATTTAAAAATTGAACGGATAAAAAACTACTACCAATAAAGAGGCAGATGAAGTCGGCCCTGGTGGAAAAGCGATGAACGGATCGAAACCATCCATTCGGAAGTGACAATCCCGGGCGGTCTCTGTCCTGCGAATGATGATTCCCTGAAAATGCTGACGGCTCAGCATGGTCTCGACCCCACGCGTCCCCATCTCCTCGGAATTAGGAGCGCGCTGCCGGCTCGTTGCCTTTCGGAGGGCCCTTCCGGATCTCGCCAAATTGCCCCCACACTGCACTAAACAAAGCCAGATCTAAGGCGCAGCCGCAAGAACTCTCTCCATCTCTCTACTCTCCTGTACTATTTTTCTTTTTTCTTTTATCTTAATTTTTCCTCATACCCACTATTACACTCTTCTAGATTCCTCCCTTACCTGTATCCTTTCTTTCTCATTATGCAACTTCACCTGGTGGGCAACGGAGTTTAATATTTGACCCCAGATTCCTCATCGCCAACCGCGAAGCGATGGTTTACCCTGCAATCTCTTGCGAGAGCCCATTTCTGGGAGCTTTCCCGAAACACTCTTTGTCGCCAAAGAAACCGCTTTTTTTGCGTTGCTCTAAGCCTCCTCTGCTTTGTTATCAGCACCGTCAGAATCCTAATGCCATGGACAAACCCACTGTCTTTATAAACCCAAATCAAGTGAATGTCGACAAAGGAAAGAAACGCCACATGGTGTCTGAAAAAAATGAGAGGAGGGGATTCCCTCAGGTTGGCGGCGGACAGATGTCGCTCTTGTGTGGGTTGGGGTATTGGGTGCAGGGCTTTCGGTGCTTTCCATGGCTAGCTCTCAACTTTCACATGGCCAACAATCTTAACTTGGATCCCTCCACATTGCAGCTTGTGCAGAACTCTGGTAATCTTCCCATGGTGGCCAAGCCCTTCTATGGAATCCTCTCTGATGCCATCTATATTGGCGGAGCTCATAGAATACCTTATATTGTCATTGGAGGTACTCTGTCATATCTTCATGCTGTGTCTTTTGCTTTCTTCTCTTTGGTTAATGGTTACCACCAAACTGAAACTTTTTTAGACTTGTCTTTTGCTTGTGTATTTCACTTTCCCTCAATGTTGTAGAAGGCCGATAAGAAACTAACCAATTGATATAGCTTGAGATTGCAGGAAGGGATTCTCATATTTTAATGACATTATCTTTTGAATTTTCAATTTCTTATAAATTAGAGCGGCTACCAATTACTATACGGGTTGGGATAGAATACAAATTACAGTGGATTTTTATGACTTATATATATAACTTTTTTCCTATATCGTTTCATTTAGTTTTCCTTTATCTTGAATGATATTCAAGTCGAAATGACAGTACTGAGTGCAAATACTAGAAGCCATAAAAATTGAACTGACAGCAGGAGCATGCGTGAAAAAAATGAGGGCTTGATTAGTTTTTTTCGGATGTTTGCGAGTACGTTTTTGCAAATAGTTCTGATACGGATGGTGTAATCACAATTAGTTTTATTTATGGAACATACGGCATCGATTCAGCATTTACCATATAACTTGGAAGAGTATGCTTTATATCAGCATGAACTCCATTTAAGTAAAACGGTGGTCCTGAATGAACGTGATATTAAATAGAATATACATCTTGATCAAAGATACTTAGTTCAATCTTCTCAGTTCTTTTGCAGGTCCTGTCTTGGGGATCTCTGGCAATGATCCCTGCTGCAAGGGAAGTACTTCCCAACTTAATTGCTTGTGTGCTTTTCAGCAATCTGGGAGCATCTATAACAGAAGTGGCTAAGGATGCTCTTGTGGCAGAGTATGGCCAGAAGCACAAAACTGGGGGCTTACAGTCATATGCATTCATGGCTTTAGCTGCAGGTGGAATCCTAGGCAACTTTATTGGTGGTTGCTTCTTAAAGGACATGCAGCCCCGCACCATGTTTCTTATCTTCTCTGGTTTACTGTCTCTTCAACTTGCAGTTTCTTCCTCCACAAGAGAGAAATCTCTGGGCTTGCCACAAATTTCAGGTCATACTTTTTCTTGGAAGTCGTTCTTGGAAGATATCAGAAATCAATTCTCTAATCTTGTCACAGCAATCAGTGAGGAAAGCATTTCCCGCCCTCTCATGTGGATTGTTGGGTCTATTGCCATGGTTCCAATACTTTCAGGCTCTATCTTTTGCTATCAGACACAGCACCTAAACCTTGATCCTTCAGTAATTGGTCTCTCTCGAGTGATTAGCCAGTTGATGCTTCTGTCAGCGACTGTTCTCTATGATCGTTATTGGAAAAAAGTTCCAATGAGAAAGCTGATAGGGATAGTGCAAATTTCGTATGCTGCATCTCTACTTCTTGATCTGGTTTTAGTAAATCAGATAAATCTTAGACTGGGAATTCCCAATGGAGTGTTTGCCCTTTGCTACTCTGGTTTTGCAGAAACTTTGGCACAGTTTAAGCTCCTTCCCTTTTCAGTGTTTTTTGCAAGCGTATGCCCACAGGGTTGTCAAGGGTCTCTCATGTCTTTCTTTGCGTCAGCTGTATGTCTGTCATCCATAGTGAGTGGGTTTTTTGGCGTTGGATTGGCTTCTCTGCTTGGTATTACTTCTGGTGATTACTCAGGCTTGACCATGGGAGTTCTGATACAATTCGCCGCAGCTCTAGTTCCATTGAGATGGATTCATTCTGTACCCATGTCTCAACCTACTGTTGAGAAGGGAAGGAGAAGAGGTATGAATAGAAGAACTCGAAAACATAGAAGAGTTGGAAAAGTTGTTCTGAGTTCTATACATGGTTATCGCCGTGAAAGAGAATCAGAGATACAGAGGTGAAAATAGGTCATTTTTACATCTGCAGTCGTGCTGATCATGGAGAGATGAAAAGAAAATTGGCTCCTTTGTATGTGCCTCTCTCTTTCGATCTTCTGAAGATTAGGCGGGAACCATGTCTGATCAGATATTTTCTCCATGTTGCATAGTTCTGATCTTTTTCCAGCACCTGATCACTTTTGATTGTGGAGCAGAGACTGGTCCTAACCACTACGTTCAAAAATCTTCAGATTTCAACGTTCAGCCTCTTGATTTTTCTGGAAGGCTCAGCAATCACGGTCCATAATTGACGAGGTTTTCCATCAATGCATTGAGGGATGGATACCCAGAAATTTTTATTTTAGTCAACAATCGATACAAGAAGAATCCATGAACCTCTATGCTTTGAGCATTGCTTCAAGGCGGCGGCGGCGGCATTGAGGAAAATATTAGGAATAATATACGCATAAAATCGGACATTATTTCAATTGATGTAGAGATGACATATTATTTCATTAATCTGGATTTAATTTATTCCAGAAATACTCTCCAAAGCAAAGGGCCAAGCCAACCAGAGGACTTCTAAAACCATAATAATTAGAGAGATGAATACGAGGAGCGTGCAAGTTGCTTAGCATTTTAGTTGTCACGATCTTGTGCAAGGCGGTAGAGTTCAAGCAACCAGAGTCTTGACTCTTCTAGTATCGAATTAAACATGCTTCCTGAGTTCTCAAAACGCAACCTTTTAGATTTTCTAAAACAGAGGTATAAGAAAACGAAAGAACGACTTGATGAAAACAACGGTTAGTAAAGGTGACAAGCCCTCTTGAAGTAATGGCAATTGGTAACATCTGACTAAATTTATGTTTTAGCGCTTAAATTATTAAACATGTTTAGCTTTGATCGCCTTAATTCATTACTACTTTTAGTAAATGACATTTATCGTGCCATTCATCTTTTCACTAAACAAATGAATAATTCATACAATGAAATTCCATTTCCAATAACTACCTTGACCTACCAATCTAAGAAGCAACCTGCTGTTTAATCCTTTTCATCCTTTCCCCCGAAGTAATCCCTTTTCAATAATAATACTAGGTAGTTTCAAGGTAAACATATAGAAAAGACCAACGAAATTGATGCTAGTCAAGGCACAAGAAGCCATGAAATATCAAGCAACAAGTAAACATTACCTAGCGAAAATCAGCAAGCTTGACTTTCATAAAGCTACGTTAACCAGAAACTTCATTGATGAAACCTTCCTTGCGACCTTCAAAACCAGGCCGCATAAGCTTTTTCTCCCTCTTTGCAATTTTCCGCATTTTCTTCTGATGAATCCTCTCAGCTATATTTTCGGATCTTCTTTGCTGTTTCTCTGCTTTCATTTTCTCCCTGGTATCAATTCTCTCCTTCCATTTCTCTGAATTTTTCTGCTGTCTCTTCTTCTCCTTCTTCAAGCTTTTCTCTAGGAGTTTGGGGTCATCGTGAACCTTAATTCCTGCGGCCCTATCCATTGCTGCTTTCCATGATTGCTTTTTTGCAATTACCTCACCTTTCTCAGGATCTTTCTTCGCTTCTTCTAGTTTTTTTGCCTTTTCAATTTCCTTATGTATTGACGTTTTTCTCTTTTTCTTCCCATGCCTTTCTTCATTATCGAGTTTGATATGACCAAACAAGAGGTCTTTTGAAGCCTCCACAGCATCCTTCTTCCTTTTTTCCATTGGATCATCAGTTTTAGGTTTAGTTCCTTCATTCCCATCGTCTTTCTTACGTTTCTTATTCTGAAATCCTCTCTTCACATTTCTCTCTTCCCTTTTCTTTTCTCTATTGGAACTTCCACAGTTACGACTTGCCCGAAACTCTTCAATTTTGCGATGAAGTCTTTGCCGAAGTTCTTCATATGTCATTGACCGATCATCACCTTCAATGCCCGATGTTAAAGTATTCATATCCACTTGCTCTTTATTACTCCCTTCCAATTTTTCTTTGTCCAAGCTTTGTTTAAGCAGGTCAAGCGTTGTTGCACTAGGCTTGTCCGGGTCTAAACGTTCTCTTCTAGATTTCTTGATATTTTCCCTTGTCTCTTTCTTAGCTGCAGCTTTTTCAGCCTTGCTCAGACCCTGGAACCACGGCCTCTCGTCATCAATTGGTAGATAGAACTTCGCTGGTATAAGCTCAATTAACTTGTCAAAGAAGAGCCTATGCTGCTGAATGATAGACTGCAAATCTTGAGCTGCATTGGTCTCCTCCAAAGACTTCTGCGTTTTCTTCTTCATCTGCATGGAAACAATGGACAAGGAAGAATGAGTGTAAATCATAAGGTTGGCATATTCTGAAGACAATATACAAGCAATCTTGGGTGAAAATCTAAAAGGCGTATATAAGCTAGACAGGATGGGTTGTGAACTCAATGGAGTACTACTTCGTTTAGATTTTAAAGGAAGAATTAGAGGAAATTAGAATGCTTTTCCCAAGACCCACAAAGCTAGAAATCCAGAATTCCTTGAATAGATTGTTTATCCAACCAGCGGCTTACAATGCCTAAAACCAACTAAAAATGAAAAAAGATCGATATTTATCAAGCCACGCCAAACTTATACATGTCCACTTAGTTCTGATAAGTAACTTGCAATTAAGAGATTTTTTTTTTTTTTGGGAAAAAAGGCCAAAGTTAACGCTGTAGTTAAGACAAAAAATGAACACAGCACAGCAAGGAAATTGAACACAGCACGGCGGAGCAAAAACGAAAAAGAAAAATCACCAGTGACTAGGGCCGATTTTCAAACAGAACAAAGAAACAAATAATAATAATAATAATAATAAAACCTGAAGTTGCGAAGGCGAATTGAAGGCTGCAACGAAGTTAAAACCAGAAGTTAAAGGCGAACAGAACACACTGACGCCAGAGACTAAACGCTGAAGGCTGCTGGCTGCGAGATTGCGAGACTGAGAGTGACGAATGTCGCTGGCAGCCGCAGCACAAACTCTAGGGTTTGGGTTTCAGGGGAAGGCCGCGGAGTTCAGTGCAGAGGCATAGCACTCTATAGATTACCTTGCCGCACTGGATTATATCAATTCAAAATTGCTAAATAATTTAACTAATTTCTGGTTAAAAATTAATTTAAATAATTTAGATCATAATTAACAAACGTTTAACATTAATTTATTTAATATATTCTAATAAAAAAATAATCAAAGCTACTGTTTATTTCTTTATTTCTTAATATTTTTTATTTCAATAATATTAAAGTTTTAAATAACTTTAAATATATCCCCAAATAATTTTGGTTGCTTTTTTTATCATAATTGTTTAATATATTAAAAAACTCACATTTAATAATAAAAAAATTAATTAAGTAGTTGATATTAATTTATATTATATAAGTTTTAAGGTTTAAAAAATTATTCCAAATAGATTGTGCTATGCATAATAAATTCTTATTTAGTATCAGCTAGAAAAACAAACTATGAATGAGATTTAACATTAAATTTTGAAACAAAAAAACTTAGTTTGGAATTCTTTTTATTTTATTGTATTAAAAATTGGTATTATGTAAAACATGTTTTGAAAAAAAAAAAGTTGTGTGAATAATTGTTCTGGAAAACTATATCTTAAAACTAAAAAATATAAAAACTTGTTTGATAAATTGCTTTACTTAATTATTATTAGCATAAATTTTATATTTATTTAATATTATATTATAAATATGAATTAATTTAATAATGATATTACATGTTTTGAGACTAGAAAATAAAGAAACTTGTTTGACACAATTAATATTAGCATAATATTTTGTATTTATTTTACATTATATTATAACTGTAGATTAATTTTATGGAAAAATTGATGAAAAGGACTTAATTAGAACTAAAATTGATCCCAAATAGCAAATGTGCTTGAAAGACCAAGCTAAATCTTTTATTCATTTAATAATGTTATCATTTGACCAAAATTTTATTATCTTAAACAAAGAAATTTTGAAAAAAAAGCCACCCTTTCTTCTTCCTTTCTTTGAATAATTTAGAAAACATAAGAGTTCAAAATGCTGTGGTCAACTATGAGGGACAGATTTAACGAAGCAGCAATAGTAATTTGAAGTATGAGTTTTGAAAAAGACAACCCCATTAAAGAACCAAACAATCAAAAAACCAAAGAAACAAAGCGATGATCAAGTAGCCGTGAAGGATGACATTGATGGAGGAGCAGTGTGAGTGAAAACTTGGTCAGACAAGGTTAAGAACAATTGGAAAGTGGTGCACATCTTTTTGATTCCCTCCAAATTAAATATCCTTTAGATTACTCCTTTCTTTTAATATTGGGTCTCCTCTCATTGAATCCACCCTCGATTGTCAAGTTCAAAAACAAATTTAAATTCATTTAATTTCTCTTTATTTACACTTTTTTACTTTATGTGTGAAATAGTGTCGAGAAAGAGTGGAAGACAAACCATAAGAAATTATGCCCCTTTCAAAAGTTAAAAAATTTGTAGCAGCTATAAGAAATTTAGCAGACGGAGTTGACATGTCGCCTTGACAATAATGCACAAAATTAAGGTAACCCATAATAGCTAATATATCGAGTAGCAAGACCTTGATATTTCTTATCCTATACAAAACATAAAATTCTTTAAAAGTCATGGGGCTAAGTTGTAGAGAACTGAATGAGGCATCCCGCATTCCTAATACAAATAAATGCTATCCTTGTAGCTTCTTTTACAACAAATAAAGGAGCTAATAAATGTCCATTTGAGCTCCATTCTTGTTGAATCTCTCCAGGGTCAAACACTAAAATATAATATGGTTACCTATTCTGATAATATAGACATAAGGCAAATATTGTAATACAACTATGTAACAAATACCTAGTTTGCATTTTAGAATGAAGGCAACAATTTTTAGGCTTAGAAAGTGCATATTGAATTTGGTAGCAATCTCATATAATGAAAATCTAGTTAATATTGCAACGTTAATAGCTGTATGTTCATCCTTCTTAAAATGTTGATATATCTAGCCTTTATGGTCATGAAATTCCACAAAGCTGAATGTTATGGGATGAAATAAATTGAGCAAATTTCACTTGAAATGTGGTCCGGTCAATGCCTCACTTTAGGTGTTTGCTCAATTTGCTCAGATTCCATAAAGTTGAAACCCTTCCTTTAAGTATTCAAAAGAAATTGTATTGTGCAAAATTGTGGAAGAGCAATGAACAATGAAGGAAGTACCAAGATTAAAGACCATTTGAACACTCAAACTAGTTGAATTTTGTTGCTCAACTTCAATCTCATCAATCATCATAGTTATAACACTTAAAGCATCACTACAAAAATAATTGACCCTATTATAGTGGTGATTCCCAAATGCTATCAACCTAATGTTTCTGTCCTCACAATCCAAATTCTCAAGAATGCTGAGCTCAGTAGAACATTATATCACCGACAAAACAATGACCTTGTCCTCAAGGTCAGAGAATTGTAAATCACTTGAGACAAAAATCATAATCATATCAAAACCAACACCTCTTAATTGATATTGAAACTCAAGTTGAGAATAAAAGATAAGCATATAACAAGGAACAAATGAAGATAATGGTACCTTTATAATCCCATTAAAAGGTAGTTATGTTGGAATTTTTAGAATGAAATCATATGCAATGTGAATCAATGCAGATTGCCTTAGGGGAGCCAAATTATATGTAGGAACAGTGGCTAATGAAGCGAGTAGTTGACAACCTCCCATTGCCACTACTATTGGAGAGTGCAAAGGCAAATCTTAAAGATGAAATTGATTGAAGAAAGAAGCAAAGCTCATGGTTAGATATGGAATCAAGCCCCCACGGCATGACAACCCATTAAAAGATTGCGTTACCTCAAGCATATGGTCCAAAGCAAGATAATTAATAACAGAATCATCAACATCGAGCAACTCGACTTCTCACTTCAATAATGCAGAATTTACTTGGACAGTGGTGTCTTCAATAGCAACTAAACAAAATGAAATTAGGTTTCTTGTTGCTCATCCCTGCTATCATGACAATACTTTGAGACTAACTTTCAAGACGCACCATTTTGCTATCCAACATTTAGTTTGAACGATTCAAGTGTCCACAAATAGTTTTTTAAGTCACCTAGCTCTTGGCACCAGTTTTACAACAAAAAACTTAACCATTTAAAAGTTAGATACCCAAACGCATAATTATTCATTTCCCTTTCAAAACACATACGAGGGTATTCCAACTCACCAACCTAGTGCCAATAATCTCACAATCACTTGAACTAACTCAAATAGATCACAAACAATCTAATTAAATAGTCATGCCATAACAATAACATTTCAAACATAAATTGACCATCAAAACTCCAAATTCACAATAAATTCAAGGGATGATAAAAAATTACATTTAAATGTTCTCATGGTCATTCCAGCACATAATCAACATAAAAACATGATTCGTACTAATATCTCAGTCTCTTGCAACAATTTCATTATAGTTACAACATTTCAGGCAGAGATACCCACCTTTACACAACAATTCTCATGCAAGTAAGCTTAAAACAACACATGATCTTAAGTTAGCATACTCAATATAAATTTGTTACAAAACCAAAAGATAGAGTGAGAAGACTATACACACACACAAGTCCCTCAATTCTCCGTAGCACCTTCCTTTTCTTTGCCTTCATTGAAGCCTTCACCTGTAAAATGTAACCACAGGGTGAGTCAAGGACTCAATAACTAAATAATCTAAACAAACTAATCATATGTGAGAATAATTAGTGAATATGTGAAGTGGCATTAAAATATATACTATATATATATACATATAAAGTTACATATATACATGGCTATACAATAGAGATATGCATGATCAATACACCATTTTATATCATCCTTATTTCCTTTGACTAAATATGTGGTTTAACAATTCGATAGAACAATTAGTGAGTATGTGAAGTGGCATTCAAACATATACTATATATATATATATATATCCAGTTACACACACATATGGCTATATAATAGAGATATGAATGATCAACACACTGTCTTATATCCTCCTTATTTTTTCTGACTGAATCTATAAGTTGACAATTCGATAAAATCGAATCTATGTGACTAGATTAGCTTAAGCTCACCAATCATAGGAGGTAGCTGCGGCCAAGGGTGCTTTCACCAACTATAGACCATAAATTCCCCCTTTTCATGAATACCCGAGATATCATGTAACATCCCAAAAATTTAACTTAAGATTAATTAAGTTAATCAATGGCAAATGAATAATTTTGGAAGAGTATTTAGAAATAAATAATTTTAGTTAGGGAATTATTATTGAATTTAATTTAGAATAAAATCCAAATCCTAAATTATAATTTTTTTAGAAAATAAAATTATTATTATTATTTATTGAAAGAGACAAGGGATATGAAATAAAAAAATTGCGAACGGATTTCATCCGTTTGTGTATGTGCGTGTTGGTGTGTGATATCATTTAAAAAAAACGAGAAGAGAAAGAAGAAGAAGGAAAATGATTATAAAATACAAAAAAAGAAATAAAGAGGTGGGGCAAACGATTTCCATATGTTAGGAGGAATGTGTATTAAATGAAACAAAAGAAACAGATGTGAATTTTTTCATGTGGGACCCATGGCTTTTTTTTAAAAGCAACACATCCTAATTCTTTTCCTCATTTCCCTTCCCTTTTCTTTTCATTTCTTCGTGTGCGCACAGAGAGAACAAGAGAATGCGACATCGCCGGTGACAAGGGAGCTTAGTTAGAAAATAGACCTTTATAATAGAATACTTTAAATAAAATTTTAAATATTTTAAAATTAAGTAAGTGTCCTGAATATTTTTTTTAATCATATTTCATCTTTAGTTTTAAATTTTCAATTATTAAAAACCTAGGGTTTGAAAGAGGGATGACTTTTTTATGAATAAATATGACTGTTGAAGTTGTTAGTAGTATAATACATATCTTAGAGTATTGTTTTGTTGATAAAATTAGAATTTGAAGCCTTTAAGTTTATCTCTAAATCTCTATGAATAG